GTTGATACTGTCTTCTAAAATAGTTGAGGGAAAATACTGGACGTATTTCTGATCCTTTATTTAAATTTTATCTGACCAGCATTTTAGCTGTTGCTGCTGCATAATTGGTCCTGAATCATCAGCATCTCTCATTCATGGATAGGTAAATAATTCAGACACGAACTTCAGCCATACTCTTTAGCAACATAGTTTGAGAAGTTCTAATTTTCTGAATTGAGATCCTTGATTTTACAGGTGATTAATTGAATTACAGGGAAGAAATCAATACACCTCTGAACAGCCTATTCACATTACCCAAATCTTTGTCCTGGCCATGTAGCCATTTTTCAACTTTGCATCTCTGCCTTTCCAGCAAAGTGATAACTGTCTTACTGATTTGCGTGATAAAACTTCCAGGTGATAGATGCCAAGGATCCAACAGCAGCCAAAATAAACAGCCTGTATAGAGAACACTCCCCAACTAAAACTCACCTACCTGAAACCTCACAGTGAGCTTGATCAATAACACTGGAGTTACTGCATTTACACAAGTGTACAAAACACAGACATTTGGGACTGTTGGTGTCATTGTTTTTAGTGTGTGTGTATATACATATATAATTAGATATATCTTAGAGCAAATGCTGCTCTCTGAATTGCATTAATAGATCTGTGCATGTAATAGGAATTGTGGGAGGACAGGTAGCCCTCAGCAACTGCTGATGACAGCATGTGTGTTATTGTGTGAATTGTGCTGGTGAATTCTGTCCACTTTTGGCAGAATCAACATTTGGCCAGTGTATTTGGGTTAATCACAACCATACCTGAATATTCATGTAATAGGGATAAATAGCCTTTAAGGTTTAAATCTGGTTTTCAATGAATATGCTTTTGGAGTCTTGATAGTGTTTCACGCTTGCCTCTTGCTTTTAATAGTCAAATTCTTTTAAGTAGGAACCCCTCCTTCTTGTAGAGTTGGAAGCATTATGTATGATTACTGTTGCTGGACTGCTCCTGTTATTCCAGTAGGCTTTTTAGTTCAGTAATGCTTTGTTACCAAAGTTCTAAATAGCAAGGTACAATAAAGGGATAAATTATTTCTGCTCTTGTAATGTTTTTTAGAAATTCTTCTGCTTGTTTTGAAAGTCAGTATGACTGAGACTAGTCATACTGCAGTATCTGTATGCATTTTTGTAAGAGTAATTGGAATAAAATATGTATGTGCCTTTATTTCAGAAAAGATGAAGAAATCCTCTGGTGTCATAACAGTCTAAATACAAATCGAAAGGAAATGTGCTACAATATTATTGCAATTTTAGCAATCTGTTATAAAGTTTATTGCAGAGAAATAACTAGGTCAACCTCTGGATGACCTGTCTTTTGGAGTTTCTTCAGTTAGCTTTAGGCTAGAGCTCCACCTTGTGATCCTTCAGCAGGATACATTTTCTTTTTATAGTTAATAATTTAATTATGATTTCACAAAGTTGAATGCCTTTTAAAGTTTTCACAGGCTGGAGAGATTTCAGTATCTGCTTGGGAAAATTAACGTTGGAATTCTGTGAATATGCCAAAAAAAAACCTCAAGAGCTAATTTTTATGATACAGTTTAGTTTAGAGTTAACTTGCTAGAGTTCTTAAAACATCTGTTTATTAGAACTCATTTAATAGATAATGTAGACTTGCACTGTTTGGAATGACATCTGCAAGAATTTCACTTCTTTCTTATCAGACTTCACTGTGATATATGAACTTGATATATTTGAAATGTTTTGGTAGGAAAATAATTTGTATAAGCATCCTTCCTTATTGACTTCCTGAACCACATGCTTTGAATGAGTCATCCAGTGTGGGCATGAAGAAGACATGGCTGGCAGTAGTCTTGAATTTCCAGAAGGTGTTTAATGAGATGAAGGATCTTGGGGAATGACCAGTGTTGCTTTTCTCCCATACCAGAACAAGAAAACATGACATAAAGTTGGAAAGTAATAAATTCAAGGCCAAGAATACGCCTTTGTGTAGTATGGAATTTGGCTGTGGGAGTTCTTGGATGGAAGACCCTCCGTTGAGTATTGAGTTCAAAAACTATTTGGAAATACTAATGTAAAAAAATAAGGTGTTGTGAAGTATAGGGACAACCTCTCTGGCCAGCAAAACCCATAGATTATTCCTGGATGCCAGGAAGGCATTTAGGGAAACTTTGCTGTAAAGAAAATAGCGTTCATCCTTGGGCAGCTTCTTGGCCACTGCCAGAGAGGGCTTACTGGACTGGGTTGACCTTGCTGGCTGAGCATCAGAAGACCTTCATTCTGTATGTGTGCAAATCTTGTAAGATTATTCTCCAGTAGGACAAATGCAAGGGGTTTTTTGGTCATTGCTGGAACTTACATCTTGACGCCTGAGATCTGTTACACTCTTTCTTTGTACACCGTTGCCGGCTGTTCAGCTCTAGCTTCTGTTTTCCAGAATACCAGTATATAGTTGCACTCATGAGGGCTAAGTTTGTTCTACCTTCAAGAAAAACAAAAAATATGAATCTCAGTAGTTAATGCTTCAGCATCAGGCAAGAAGTTGATATGTCTGTTCTGTTCCAGGAGGTGATTCTGACAAATGCTGTATTTTCTTTCATGTTTTGTTTCATGTCTGTACTAAGATGAACAGTTCAGACAAGAAGATCAAGTTGGTGTAAATGGCAGACGGCTTTTGTTACTGGTTTATTTGGCTTGTTTGATGTAGAGAACAAGTACTCTAATAATTTGCCAATTCTTTTTCATAGTTTTGGGGTTTTTTTCTTTAATTTCTGGGATTGTAAGAATTTATTGTGATTTTTGCAAAATTTTGCAGGATGGTATGTTTGGGTTTCATATAAGGAGCCAATTTACTTGTAAGGATCCAGATTGTCACTTTAGTACATGTCTTGCCTCTTAACATTGAAAAATGTAAACTAGAAAGAATCAAATACCAGCACATTGATAGACAGGTTGAACTTGAAACTGGGCAGTGTGGTTTTTGAAGTTTGCATCTCTGCTTTGCACTGGGACTGAATCACAAACATGCCTCAAAAAAAACTTGTGTAGATGTTTATCTTTCTTCATGTTTCTTTTTTCTGCTCCCCCCTCCCTGTACAGCTGAGCAGGTGCCAGCCTGATGACCAAGTCATTAAAGTGTGTCCTTTTTTCCAAGTTCGAGTTGCTGATTGGAATAAAAATAAATATTAAGAGATAAATGAATACAAAGTATGTGAAACAGTTCCAAAGTGTAAAGCTTTTCAATATGTTAGCTTCTGAGCGTGGCATTTCACGGATGGCCTGGATGGTATAAAAGCACCTTGCCACCAAAGAAGGGAATTTTACCCTTTCCTCCCGTGCTGGTGGCTGTGCAGTCTTGTGTTTCCTGTGCCAGGATATTTGCTATTGAACCAGTTTAACTTGAGAATCTGGGGGAAAAATACTTGAGTTGCATTTTGCCCATTTTAGTTGGGACTTTAATTGGGTGATACTGATTTGGGAGAGCCTGCAATGGTGAGTGGCTGGGCAGGGTTTGCTACAGAGAGTGCGAATGGAGTGCATTGCTCATGTGCCCATGTGGTGCCTTTAGAGAAGGGAGGAATGCAGTGGCAGGGGCTGCTGCCGTTCTGCAGTGTGGTTTTTCTTGAAGCTTTTTATCTTCTGCTGTGTTTTGGATGGAACATGCTTTTGTTGTTGCGGACTGTCTTGAGATTGATCATCTTGAACCTCCTTGCCTTTGCCACTATTTATTTCCACTGTGGTTCTCTGCTTTAGTGTAACTACGTGAAACGTGAAGAAAGAGAATGTAATAAGTTCAGAGTTTATGGTTTCTCTCATCTCTCTAAATCTGGAAGCTGCAGTGGCCCCTAGCATTCGGAATAAGCATTTGCAGGAGAAAACCTGTCCAGCCTCTCTGCCACATGCTCTGTTGAAATGCAGTCTCTGGAGCTGAGCTACCAGACTGTGAGCAATGTGTGCTTAGCATGCCAAAATTAAATCTTTCCCTCAAATACCTAATCACTCCAGAAAGCTGTAGAGTCAGCAGACTGACTCTGAAGGTTTTTCTCCTTGGTATTTTGTCTTTAAAATACCTGAACATCATACTTTCTTAATTTCACTGTGTAAAAGTTAGCCTGGGGAGCCAAGTGACATAGAAAACGTAGCTGATGGCTAAAACTTGCTTTTGAAGTATCCAGGGAGATTTTTTTTTTCCTCCTTGTTAACAGGAAAAATAAGAGAAAAACCTAAATTTATTTTAATGAACAGTATTATAATGAAGTTTAAAACAAGTATTTAATAATCTTTAGTTTTCTTGCTAAAACAATTGCATTTCCAATGTTTTCCTTTATACTATGTGGATAGTATTATCTTCCTTGATACCCCTAAGAGTCTTGTCAAATGCTTCAAATGTTAAACCTGTTGTGCATCTGGTTTATCAACTCTGGAAGATGTGGAGTTGTGAAGCAGCTGGTTATAAGAACTTGTAAGAGATTATATTTATGGAAAATTACATGGAAGTTGTCAAGTTGGAGATGCAGAATTGCTGTATATAGTATCTTGAAGTATAAACATATTGTGCTTCAAGTTCAACATCAAGTCTCGTTTTGGTTTGGTCAACTAGAACTAGAATTACCTTAGTGTGGTCAGTTCTGGGCTCTGCTACTTTGAGGTGCTAATGAAAACCATTCCAGTTTGCTCATCCTAATCAGAAAATGTGGAGTGGTTGGTGGTTTTTTGTTTGTTTGAGTTTTTGGGTTGTTTTTGGTTTTTTTTATTGTTACATTTTGTTTGGTTGGGTTTTTTTACAGTATTTCTGTATTATTATTTTACTGCAATGCTTTTACCATTTGTGGAGTCACTTTGTAGTAGGATCATAAGGGGACTCAAAATCTTTAAAAGAGCAAAAAGCTTGGTTGGAAACAGAGGATGGTGTGATCTACATTTTATCTGTTTCCAGCACTTTTTCTTCGATATGTGGAATAATTTTCACTGTATTTTTTTATTTATTCATTCTAGAAGTTATCTGCTACAAAGGAAGAAAGAAAAGTAAGCTTGCACTTCAGACTGCTTTTTGAATATCTTTCTAATACAGTGGTGTTCCAGAAGATGATAAAGAAATGATAGCAGCTCCAGAAATACCAACTGATTTTACTCTCCTTCAGTAAGTGTTTTAAAAATTTGTGTTCTGTGTAAATGTACTGTCTTTTTTGTGTTATGGTTTACTTTCTCTTGGAAACAAGGAAACATAATAAAGGATGGTGTTCTATTTTTATTTTCTATTGAGATATTGGTAAAAGCATTTGAAAAAGTTTTATTGAGTATTAATTCAGCAGTAACTTAAATGAGTTTTCAAAATATTTTTAGAAATCTGATTTTAAATCAAGTAGTTGAAATATTTGCCCTTAACTGGGGTGAGTCACTTAATATTTAAAATATGTAATTCCAAATGCCTTAGTTAAAGGCAAATTAATGGCTTCCCTCAGACATCAGTTCCTTGGTATTTTTGACACAATTTTACTAAGCCTTTTGTCTTCCCACAGTTTTTAAGAAACTGACATTTGAGTTTCCAATATTTAGAGTTAGGTACAGATTACACTTTTGGATAGGGAAGTAAAGTGATTATTTTAAGCAGACCAAAAGAATCCAGTTCATCCCCTTTGGTGTTGACTTACTGGACTGAGAGCATACTGTGATTTTATATAGTGTATTTAAGGATGTTTCTGATGAAGTGTGTGAATGGTTTGTCTTTTTATCCTTTCAGGGAGTCTGAGACACACTTCTCTTCTGATACAGACTTTGAGGATATTGAAGGAAAAAACCAAAAACAAGGCAAAGGCAAAGTATGTTCACTCTTTAGGGATACTGAAACATTTCTGCTGTTACAAATTGAAGAGTTTAGCACTTTCTTTGAAGTTGAATGAGGAAGAAGGAATATTTTCTGAAAATGCACATCTTCTGTGAAGAGCGTGCATATTTGTATTTGCATGGAAATGCTTCATCTTGACTTTTCCTGTGATATTTTCTTAGTGCTCTGGAGACATAAGGGAAGCAGGGGAGGAAATGATAAGCTTTGATTTGGTCACTCTCTTGGCATATTTTCCATCTTATACTTAAATTCATCATGTATTCTATGTCTTTTAGTTTGAAAAGCGAACAGAACAATAATTCTGTTAAGAGTTTTTTTAACAGGCTGCAGACAGGAGGTTACAGTAGTGGAGGGGGAGGTCTAAACCCAGTTCCCAGCCCTTCTCTTCCCTTCCTGGGACAGTTGTCCTCCCCATGTGCCTTCCACAGGCTTCACAGCCACCACGTGTGGCTCCTTCCCTGCCTTGTGCTGGCCTGGGCTGTGACCCCTCACTGGACACCCCATGAGCCTGTACCAGTGCAGAGCACCTGGTTCTGGAGAGGTGGTGATGGATTTTATACAACAGTCGTGTAATTTGTACTTAATGTTCTTTCTTCTTTCTGTAAGTCATACTTGATTTGGGAAGTCAAATACAAACACACCTGTCTGCTCTTCCTCACCCCCCCACTTGCCATCTTATTCAAATGAAAAAACAAAAGGTTAATGAATTGCAGAGGAGACTTTGTGATGTGTTAAGGAAATTGCCTTAGCTGTTTAAAAGGAAATATGTATAATCTGTTTTACAATTTAAACACGAGAAAGATCTGTGTTATAGGCTATCACTAATCACATATTTAGTTGCTTGAAGATTTTAAATGAGGGAAGGAGGAACCTGTGGAGTTCTTGCTGGTCTTTGTATCACTCAGGATCAGCTGTTCTCAGCTTTTGAATTTTTATTTTATATATATATATGTATATGTATATATATATACATATACATACACAGATACACTGACATTTAAAAAAATATGGTTGCTGAAAATCATAGGCCTTGCCTATATTTGTCATGGTATGGATAGTGATTTCTTTTTTTTTAATACTTCATGATAATTAAATAAAACCTCTTGTGCATGTGATTGCAGACCTGTAAAAAAGGAAAAAAAGGACCAGCAGAGAAGGGAAAAAGTGGAAACGGAGGAGGGAAACCCGGTGGTCCGAATCGTATGAATGGACATCACCAACAGAATGGTGTGGAAAACATGATGCTCTTTGAAGTAGTTAAAATGGGCAAGAGTGCTATGCAGGTAAGACCTGGGATAGCTCTATGACTTGGCTGTAGATACAATTTAAACATAGCAATATTTTCTTTTACATGCAGTTTAATCAAATGAAGTCTACAGTAATTTTTTCCCTTCAATTTGCTGTTTTTACTTATATATAAGAATCAACATGAAGTGGTTTTGCTCTGTTGATGTTTGAATTTGAATGAATTGATTTTTAATTTCTAAATGTTATTCATAAATAAGCACATATGAAATGAATAAATTCATACTACAATTCAAAATAAGTTTTTAGTATCCTGAATGAAGAAAGGTTATTTTAGGTTGCATGACTTTTCAAGTCCTTCTTGTGTTGTGGTTACTAAATACAAATGTGGTTTAGATTTACTGTTGTCATAGAACTTAACAAGAATGTGTAGTTTCTACATGCATTCAGAGCTTAGATTATCTGAAAATAAATAGTTGCTTCTTTTCTCTCATCCAGAGTAAAATCACTAGCTAAAACTTACAGGCTCCTCTTTAAATTTCCTGACCCAGATTCCAGCCAATTACAGTGCAGCAATGTACTCTGTCCAAGTCAACTTAGGGTAGATTTAACCCCTTCAAGTATCTACATTAGGTATTCTCCCTGCTGCATTTGCTGACAGGATGGAAGTCAGACTGTTAAGAAATACAGCACTGTTTTTGGTTTTGTTTTTTTTTTTTTAATTCAGATAGGTCACTAAAGTGTTTGCTTGTCTGTGAGTCTCCCAGTCGAGACAGGGTTAAGGTGTAATAAGTGTAAGGCTGTCAGCCATGAAGCTTTGCTGTGACTCACTCATGTGACTCCTGGCAGTGTGGAAGAATGACTATCTTTAGGACTGGAAATACAGAGTTTGCAGCTCCTGTAATGCGCATGCAGGGAGCTGGGTTGCTGTGCAGTCCTCTCAAGGTTTACAGGCTCCTGCATTACAGCTGGGAACAAAAACAAATTACTTGGATGTATTTGCACAGAGAAATTCTGATTCTCCCATCATTTTTGTTCTGTTTCAAAGCAGATGGAAAAACAATACTTCTCTAACTGTTGCTCTGTGTGCAACTTGTTCAGCCAGTAATCAGTAATTGTATCTTCATGAATTTTTAAATGTTTAAAATCATATACAGTCAAAATATTTTGCTTTCCAAGGGTAAAATGGATCTCTGCCAGGTGTGATTACTCTGTTGAATTGGGAAATTGATACCTGAATATCTGTCATTTTTTTAAAACTAGGAAAAAAATTTTCTCAAATTATTTTTAAACTGAAGTCCATTTCAGCAGTCAGAGTACAAAGTTTTCTCCATGGCCTTCAGTGTTTGCTTATCTATAAAAATTTTGGTAATAATTTAAAGTTAACTATTTTATTTTAAATTCTGTTCTGTGCCTTCTGAATTAGTCTACAAGGTGGTGGTAAGTCATAGGTTGGATTCCACGACCTCAGAGGTCTTTTCCAACCTAATCCATTCTGTGATCCTGTGAAGTAGTGTCTGTTCCTTGGCAAAAAGAGGTGGTTCATTCACAGAGACAAAACATTTCAAGAAACAGCTGTTTTACTGGCATTTCTCTAAATTGAATAGATTCTGAACACAAGTCTGCCTAATGGAAATATTTGTTCCATTCCTGTCATTTTTCAGTTATTGCATGGTGATCTTCTTTAGAAGCCAAATTTGTTTTCTCCATATTTCACCCTTCCCTTCAAGTCAGTCCACTCAGGTCCAGTTCATAGGCTCTTTTCCTACTGGAAAGAGCATGATAGTTTCACTTTGAGTTTTTAATTCTTTTTGTTGTGCTGACAACAGTTGTGCATCACACTATAAACAATCTGAGATTCAGGGAAGAGGGATTTAGCTGTATCTGTGTTCAGAAGTTTTTCTCGATGGCAGTATGTTTTATTTGTCCTCACAGCAGTATTGACTGTGAGAGTAAGCACTGAGAATACAGACAGGAAGCCTTGGAGATGGGGCATAGTCCATCTGTCTTCAGAAATTCTGAATTACTCCATGATTTAGGGAAGGGTACTAACATATTAAAAAATGTCAAACATGGAAACTTGATACTACAGCAAGTCTCTCGTACCTGTGTAAATTCAATTGTGTGTCTGTGTTTTATGACATTGGCAGTAGATGGTTTGTAGTCTACAAATGGATGGTTAAAACATAATGGCATGTAAATTCTGTTTTCTCAGAATGATTACCACAGGTTTAATTGCTTCACATGAAGATATTTTAATAAAATGTGCTTGTTCCTCTTTGGCTTAGTGACTACAGAGTAATTAATATCCATGGAGTGTAGGGCAGTGCTGTTCATCCTGTTATGACAAATGTGGATGAAGCAGAGTTCATCCAAGGGGCACATTTTTTGAAGAATATAGGGAGTTGTAGCTGTTGGAATTGAATGCACAAATAATATCTTCAGAGAAATCTCAGTGGCTTGGCAGAGCAGGGGGAGGGTATAAATACAAAACCCGATTCTGTAAAATACCCCAATTATTTTTTGCATTCTTCCTCCAAAAATGTTACTGTAGAAGGCTGTGGTATTCCTGTGCTTCATGTTCAGGTGTCAGTTTTGTACTGGTATATGTTTATAGAATAAAATGAGTTCTTGAGAACATAACAGCAGGAAAAGAACATTTAAACATTTAGTTCTCTAGTAATCAAAAAAGAGGGTTCAAGTTACTTAAAGGGATGAAGAAGAATCACTTACTTGAAAGCAGTTAAGTAACAATGTCTTCAATTTATGAAAATTGAATAGTGCCTTTTAATTTGTTTTCTTTCAGTCTGTAGTGGATGACTGGATAGAGTCATACAAACATGACCGAGATATAGCCCTGCTTGATCTCATTAACTTCTTTATTCAGTGTTCAGGCTGCAAAGGTAAGATACTGAATTGGTTACTCATCCATTTAAGTAATATTACAGCATGATTCTCAATCTTTGCTTTCATGCTACTGAGGCTGTAAGACTGCTTCATCCCCAGAGCTAGTTAACATTTTCAGGTCCTTGGAGTTAAACGAGTGTTTCTGAAGGTGGGAGCAAGAGGTTTAGAAATCTTACACTGTAGTTTAAAGTGTTGATTAAGCCTTTTGTATTTACAGCACATAGAAATCAGTATTGGTACTTAACATGTGCTTCCTCTTCCTATGTTCCTGCTATTATTTCAGAAAATCATCTCTCCTATCATTGATAGTTCAGCTTGTTCAGTCTTGGAATTCTAATTTGGATGTACCTATATTTTGTCATTAAGATTGCTTCATAGCTTTTGTAGACATGCTTGTTTCCATAAGATATTATGGACAACTTCATGGTAGCCTGTCTACAGTAAGGTTGTGTTTCCATATTTTATTTCTTCATTTTCTTATTTTTCTTTCCTCATTTCTGCATCCTCCATTCTTTTACCTCTCACCTCCTATTGAAGAGAAGGTAACTTGCCTTGCAGTGTCACTATGCTTGATAGAGGAGGACTGGATGTAATTTGTTCTGCTCAAGTGTTTCTCTGTCCTGATAAACTTTTAACACGTGTAAATCTCCAGCAAGCTAACAGTGTCCCTCAGAGGTTATCTGTGCTTTCAAGAGTAGTGACCTTTTGATTTTTGTTACAAGATAAAGCTGCAGAATCTTTTAATGCTTTCTGTGATGATCCTTGTCATGAATTTTGCAGTAAGCTTTGGGAGGTCTAACCATTTGAGGCCAAGACAAATCGAAATTCATGAAAGCTCTCTGTTTATTATAGTGCAGAAGATAACAAGTAGCAATACAGCTATTGAAAATTGTCTTGCACTATTTAGAATCTTGAGTGCCAAAAGGTCACTTCGGATGGTGTAATGCTCACTGGTACAGAGGCCTGGCACAAAGCCAATGTATCTTTGGCTTCTGATTGAGTGAATGAGTAAGTTCTAGCTGTGTGTGTACATACACACAAACACACTTCTTAAGAAGAATAAGACTGAACCCCACATAAATAAATGGTGTAAAGTATTTGTTATACATGAATGCTAGAAGAAAAAAAGTGAAATTTATTAAAAATATACATGTGTAATCAGTAGGTTAGGTGAAAATGGATTATTTTGACATTGTAGCAGGAGGCATGTCATCTGCCATCTACAGCTTTCATATTAACAGTGCTAATGACCTAATATTTAAATTGTAGGAGTTGTTACAGCAGAGATGTTCCGACATATGCAGAATTCTGAAATAATCCGAAAAATGACTGAAGAATTTGATGAGGTAATTTAATGAAGTTCTGGTTATGTATTCATTTTTATTTTCTTTTTACCTGTCCTAATCTTGCTGGATCATGTTTATTTCAAGATGTTTATTTCAAGAATATGGAGTTAGAAAAAATACAGGACTCTATGAATGAAAATGTTTAACTCTTATTTCACTGAACTTAAAAGACCAGGAAGTAAAGCTCTGCATGTATGCGACTTATTTTACTAATGGTTTAAGAAATCAATATTGACTTTAAGTTTTTAAACAGTGGGACCTCCTACTATGGTGGCACTGTGGGGGCTGCCTCCCTATCTTGCTGTTTATATAAGGCCTTAAATTGTCTCTTAAAATGGTCGCTAAATTTATTCCTATGCATTCATTAATCTACAAATTGTGGGGATTTAAGTTTGTTTATTTTCCAGTTGAAGACTAATGCTTTTCCTTTCATGGGGATTATAGTTTTTTTTCCCCTTTAAATTGTCACTTTCTGTTCCACAGAGTGTTGGGGTAAATGACATGTATTGGGGGGTTTTTTTGGTGGGTGATGTGGTTCTTTGTCTTTCGTTTGTTTTTTGTAATTTTTATTTTGTTTTTGGTTTGGTTTTTTTGTTTGTTTGTTTGTTTGTTTGTTTCATTTGACTTTTGTTTGTTTTTGGTTTTCCTGGGTTTGAGTGCCGTTCCTTTCATCCTGTGTTCAGAGAATGTAAATGTAGCTTTAAAACTTCATCCCCAAATTTGTCTAGTACAGAAACAATTCTCTCCACTGCCACCCCTCCAATAATTAAAAAAATCCATAACTTTTACTGAGGGGAAATGTAATATCCTTTTCTTTAAATGAATTGTAGTGTTCCTTAAAACTATCTTAATGCATAAATAGATTTGATTACTCTAAGGCAATATTATATGAAATTTCTAAAGCCACACCTGAGACTGTTGGTACATGGGGTTTTTTATCACTATGTTATGCTCACTCTTTCTTGTAATAGAATTCTAATGAGCAGCTCTCAGATTTCTAATCCCTTTTCATGGGTACTTTCTATATTTTTCAACCAGTTTTGTTGCTCAGCCTCTTAAACTGTTTACAGTGGCACTGACACAAATGACTCTTTATTTCTCCCTGTCACTTTACTGTTGTTTTTAAAGGCTCCCATATCAGGAGAAGGCACACATTTGTTATATTTGAGGTGTTGTAGTAGGTAAATTTCAGTCTGATATATAAGCATTTTACTGTAAACTTCCTTATGATCCTGACCTGTTTCTAAACTTGTCATCTAACTGTTCATGTGATGATTCTAGTCTAACAAAGTGGATTTCTAAGGCAAATAATTTTTTTTCTTTTATTTTGTGTCAAACAAAAAAGAGGAACTAGTAGTTAGAATATTGTCTTCATGTTATAACAAGGCTCAGCTGCAAAGTATATTGATATTTATGGAATCATATTCTTCTGATGTATCATTTTTAAGGCCTCTGAGATTTTGTTTTAAACTTGCACGTATCTCTTCTTAATCTTTATTTAATGAAATAACTTTTAAAGTGTTTGAAAGAGTTTCCTGTTTCCTTTTCTGTGTTTTAATAGGATAGTGGAGATTATCCACTAACTATGGCTGGCCCCCAGTGGAAAAAGTTCAAATCCAGTTTTTGTGAGTTCATTGGAGTACTCGTCCGACAATGTCAGTATAGCATCATATATGATGAGTATATGATGGATACTGTCATTTCCCTGCTGACGGGGCTGTCAGACTCACAAGTCAGAGCGTTTCGGCACACTAGCACGCTGGCAGGTCAGTGAATTGCATTTTTTGGGTATTGCTTACATTTAATGTTTTGTGTTGTACGGGTCAGAATTACTCTGCTTGAACTTCTTGATATTCACCATTGAACTTGTGTTTTATTTTGTGATACAGTTTTCATCTTATGCAACTTGCTTTGGGACAGCTTTTTGTCTTGGATTTTTGTTACTGAAAAACACAGCGCTATTTTAAAGCATTCTAGCTCTTTGGTATTTAATTTTTGTTAACCTTTAGTAGAAAAGTTAATAGAATTAATTTTTTCAGTTGATTCTACTAGGTTGTCTTTGATCATAAATAAGGGTGTAGATGTCTTTTAATCTCAAATGCAGTTGAACCTGTTCATGCTCTGCATTAAGTCAAACAGAAGTTGTAGTTTATGTTGGCTGCAATTTTTACTACAAATTGTGCTACATATTGAGGTCATGGTGCTATGTAAAGTAACATTTCCAGTATTTGAATTAGAAATAATTTAAAATAATTTTTTCATCAGTAATGCAGTCTCTGAATTTCTTCATGTTTTATGTAATTGACCTTTTCACATAATTTTTCCCAATAAGTTAAATTGTGAAGAAATCCTTTATGAGTTAAGTATAAAGTGTTTCAAAGAAACATGTATTTGTGTGGACAAAGGATGAGCTTCTTGGATAAGGGAGTTCTAAACTTGCACTGATTACTGAGGCAGGATTGTGAATGGCATTGTGTGGCTGTCAGCTTATGTGAGGTTATGGTAACAATTTTACTTTGAATAAGGTAAAATTAGGCTGAGTGTGAAACTGAGCCTAATTTTACCTTACCTTTGCCATACTGGAAGTGATAATTGCTAGCTTGACCTGGCTGATGCACAGCTGGCTTCAGTCCTAACTGTCACGTCAGTCCTTCTGTATCCTTGATAGCCCTCTTGGATTTACATTAGCACACTACACATGGTGCTGCTGCTGTGTGACTTCCACCAGCCAGAGCATTTCTTAATGAGAGAGGAACAAAACTTTTTATTTCAGGACAATTCTGCTGTATCATGAGTTTTGACTGTTGTACTGTATGACTTAATACAAATTCTAGGTCTTAAATAGCAAATCATTACCTTCGGGTTTTTTTTTTTTTTAATTGGAGTTGTGCCTGAATAACACTTGCAGAAATTGCCCTGTTGCATGTTAGTTTCTGTCAAACAAAATATTTTTTTATAAAATGTGTTTTCATTTGTTCACATCAGCAGTCAATTCTGTTGGTTTTGTGTATTTGTCTGAGTTTTACTGTTTGTATTGTTGAAGATTGTATTTTATATGGAAAAGAGTGCCAGCAAAACCCTTGTATCCATATTTACTAGTACTTCTGGTAATTTTGGCATCTGTGATTAACTCAGACTTGCTCTTTAATCTTGGAGATCACAGTGTGAGGTGATATTTCAGTATAACTGCATGTCTTTAAGCCTTGCTCAATTAGCTTTATGCTGGTGATAGATGCACAAGAATTTTCTGTGTCTGCTCTGCCAGTACAAGCCCTTTTATGCCTTATTACTGACGCTCCCAAGGCAAGCAAGTACACAACTGATCACCTTCTAGTTTCGGAAAAAGGGGTATTTGTCTGAACTCTTTTAAAAAGGACACAAAAATCCCACGCAAGTGTGTTTTGTATTTTGGTTTTCTTTTTTCTGGCTTGTAGTTGGCTAATGTGCTCTCTGCTTCTGCTAATAAATGAATCTTTGAAAAACCTGCACCTTTTTAAAATTAAGGGGAAAAGACTGGTGTGATAGGGTGGTGTTAATTGTCTAAGACATTTCCTTTTGAAGAAAGAAACCTCTTGTATATTTAAGGCTGAATGGTATCAGTTTAAGTGACTCTGATAACAATTCTTCTAGTATTTCTTGGGCTGAGTTTGTAAATCTTACATTCTACTTTTATTTTGGGGAGGAAACAGATCCTATATCTCAATTTAATAATAATAATAATAATGTGTGTATAATAAAAGTAATGCTTATAGCATTAAAGAAATTACAAAAAAGAACAGAATAGCAATATTGCGTCTATTGTCTTGATAAATAATGATGCAGTGCTTGGTAAAACATTGCATAAGTTTGTGTATCAAAACATTACTGTAAATATATTTTCATAGATACAGAAAGGGTTGACCAGAAGAGGTGTCAAGATTTTTCTTCTGTTTTCTTAGGTTAGGTAACCTTTTAAATAATCCTTATTCTTTTCACTTGTTTTTGTAGCCATGAAACTCATGACTGCTTTAGTGAATGTGGCATTAAATCTAAGTATTAACATGGACAATACACAGCGGCAGTATGAAGCAGAACGAAATAAAATCATTGGGAAACGAGCTAATGATAGGCTGGAACTCTTACTACAGAAGAGAAAGGAGGTTAGTGCAACTACATGTTCATAAATACAAAAGTTCATAAATGGCCACTAATAATGAGTCTTGTTCTGTAATTGGTTTTGGTAGTTATCCATCTCTCTCGCTCTTCAGGTTGTTCATGTTTAATGCTTAAAAAACTTCGCGAGGTGCTTCTTACTGTCTGGTTTTCTGTAAAAAGAAGTAAATGTAGAGTCTTAAAAATAGTAGTGTTGCAGTGAAGTTAGTGAGAGAGACTGACTGCAATCAGTAATAGATACATTTTTATTGTATTTCTTGATGAGTTTTCTACATTGAGCTCAAATATGTAACAAAAATTGCCACACATTGACAAGTTTAGGCTTCTAGAGAAGATCTCCGTGATCTTGGAGCAAAATGCTGCTTTTATAATGTCAATAATGATCTCAGCAGAAAATGTATTTAAAGGCTTTAGATAAAGCTTTTTTCATGTAAAGAAAGCACTATCAAAGTTGCAAATGCAGTCTACTTCTGTTTTCTTTCTTTTGTGTAAAAGAGACTTGCTGATTCATTGCTGACAATGTTGTCTTGTTGAAAGCCCTAATTCAATCAGGTTTTAGTTTTTACTTTTGGGGCAATTGGTGGGTTTGTTTTTTGATTTTTTTTTTTTTTTTGTGTGGTGGTGGTAATGTTTATTTTCTTTTAGGTTTTTGGTTTTTAGGCATTAGGAATAACTCCCTCATGATCAAAGGAAACATCTCACCTTTGCTCTTCAGCATTTGTAGTGTTACCTGTTAAGGGTTTTTTTTCCCTGACTGTTCAGACAAACTAACAAGTTTGCCTTCTGATCATCTCCCAAAGATCTTGCAGTTTGAGACTGATCTCTTAACAACCCATTCAATGTAGTTGTTTTAGATGTGTGTGCCGGACTTCTCCTAGTGTGAGTAATGCATAGATACATAAAAAAGCAACGCTGTTACTAGAAAATTAAATCAGGTTTTCTTACAAATTAATTAAAAAGGACCTTTCAGAAACGCAAGATGTCTTTGTTACACTTGAAAAACAGTTTCCCAGTGATCAGAATTACTAAAATTTGTATGCTGTGGTAGATAAAATTTCTTAAATAATAGCATATTGTACTGTGAAGCAGGTCTGTGAAAGGATTTAGTAGTCACACTTGTAAATGTTAATTTAGATTGCCTAGCATCAGCACCATCTGATCTGACTGTAAAAATGCTGCTCACTGTTTACGTACTCTCTACATTCTTTCAGCTTCAAGAAAATCAGGATGAGATAGAAAACATGATGAATGCAATATTTAAAGGTGTTTTTGTGCATAGATATCGGTAAGTTTCTCTCAGTAAGTAATGTGTAGCATCATTAATTTCTTCTGGAATCTGGGGGCAGGTTATTTCTAATTATTCATCTCTTTGAACTTACTGCCCCACTTCTCTCCACAGAGATGCAATTGCTGAAATAAGAGCCATCTGCATTGAGGAGATTGGAATATGGATGAAAATGTACAGTGATGCCTTCCTCAATGACAGCTACTTAAAATATGTGGGGTGGACTATGCATGACAAGGTAAACTGCACAGAGCAAAAGGAGCAGAACCAAGAAGCAGAACTCCTTGGTTCTGGTTATTGATCTTTCCAGACTATGTTTGGATCTCTTAGCTGTTTGAATTGGTCACTGCTTTCCTTATCACTCAGAAGTACTGGCATTGCAAAATGCACATAAGCCAGATTTGAATGTTTTTAGAGAGTACATATAGATTTTTTTAAGAAACTTATTTGTAGGCAAATGGTCTTTTCTATTTGTTGCTGATGCAAACTTGTAGTTCATAGTGCTTAACTACTTCAAATTAATGCATGTCATCCCTATAGCCTGGCAGTACTCTGTTTTGCCAAATTACGAAACTCTAGCATTCTCATCTAGCTGCAGAAAGTATGGGGAAAGCCCCCTTTTGTGCTGGTTAGTGCCTCAAGCTGTTATTTACCAGCTACCACCCAGAGACTGTTCTCTGCTTGGGGGAGTCAATATAGTTTACAAATATTCCCTGACTCATTGTTGAGTCAGCACATTGCCTCAGTTCTTGCATCGGAAACCTCAAGCTGTTGAATTTTAAGTGAAAGAAATGAGGGATGCTCAGTCTTGTTGTGCTGTTCACAGGCTTGGTGTAAAAACCCAGTAACCTCTGGCAGTGGGGTGAGGTCATCTTTACCTTAGAGCATGTTCTCTGCTGAAGCAGATCTTGTATTTCAACAGGAATATTTCTCTCGTTATCTACTTAGTAATTTTGACTGAACAAGGGATGGTCATCAATGACAGAAATATCATGAGTGTTTAGAAAGAATGAAACAGGTGTATTTTGATTTATGGAGATGGTAACTGCAGGAAGACCTTGGGGGGTTTTGTTGGTTTTCGTTCATTGCTTTGTTACAAACAGGGTTATATTCTTATGTCATTAACATGATTATTGGTAGTGTATTGTGACAGAATTTAATCTTTGTTTTTGAATTAATTCTGACTGTAAAAAAAACTTGTCTTGTATGACATGAAGATCACATTTGTGTCCTATACTTGACTTTTAATTCAGTTCTTAATTTTATTTTAGCAAGGAGAAGTAAGACTCAAATGCCTAACTGCTTTGCAAGGGCTTTACTATAATAAGGAGCTTAATTCCAAATTGGAACTCTTCACCAGTCGGTTCAAGGTTAGTGTTACTTCTTAATTTGAGTACATATGATTCTTTTAAAAAGTTGCATTACATTTCTTTCCTCTTCAAAAATATTTTCTTTTGTGTTCTTAGGATAGAATTGTGTCTATGACTCTTGACAAAGAATATGATGTTGCAGTCCAAGCAATAAAATTACTCACTCTTGTTTTACAGTAAGTACATATATATTTCCTTATCTGACATACAGCAAATACCAAAACTTAAGTGTTAGCTGTATGGGTGAGGCCAGCAGCATGACACTTCAGATAATCTGAAGGCTGTAGAAATGTCTATGCATCTTACACTCAAAGAAAATGGAATTCCAAAAGTAATCTGTCTAGAACAGTGTTACTACTTATCTCCCACAGTTCAGTAGGTGAAGGGCTAGGGACTTCGAATTCAGCCTCATAGTTAAAAACTATCATGGAGTGTTTGAAATGAAGAACACAGAATATATTGAACATGGCACAGTAGTTGAACTCTTGAGCATAACCTTCTAGCAAGAGCTCATACTTCATCAGTGTATTTTGTTCAGGAAGACTTAGGAACTAAGACTGGAGTTTTAGGATGATAAATTGAAGGAAAAGGTTTAGGTTCTCATTCATTCCATCTCCCTCATTAGAGCTCATACTTTGTTGACTCAGCCTTTTTGGTTTTTTCTTTCTTTCTTTCTTTCCTTCTTCCCATCCCTACCCCTAGGAGTAGTGAAGAAGTTCTGACTGCAGAAGACTGTGAAAATGTCTACCACCTGGTTTATTCAGCTCATCGGCCAGTAGCAGTTGCCGCAGGGGAATTTCTTTATAAAAAGTAAGATGGAGAAATTACAGTTAACTTCTTGATCCTGTAGATTTTTGTGCATCTGTGTGCATTAATACAATAATTCTTATTAGATTTAACCAAGAAAAGGAAAAAAAAAATCATAAAGTAGCCTTAAGAAAGAAGAGAAAATGTAACATTACTGTATTTTCTAAACTGCTGTAGTTTTTCTGAATGGGAAATAGAAGTTTGGAAGGCTGCACTTTGAAAGTTTGTACCTTCAGGGAATATAATAAAAATGTTCTTATGTCTTCTCCTTTCCCATTCTTCCTGTGAAACGTCTTAAAATGCTTATGTAGTTTGGGGCCTAAAACTTGGGCTTACATCATGAGTGTTTTCCCATTTGTAGTTCCTCCCCTGTGCCTGCCTCCTCCCCATTGTCCCATGTGACCATTTCATAAAATATTTTTCATTTTAAAAATCCACTAAAAACACAGCATTCAGGTGTGTAGGAGAACAAAATGGAGTTTCCAGTTAATACTTTTCAGACCTCCTTCCAATATTTCTTAGCTGCTTTGAAGTCTCCTGTAGGGAGGTTCAGAAAATATTGTTTGCTGAGGAGGAGCATAGGACCTCAAGCACCTGCAGTAATCAGTGATGTTTGTAGAGCATTTTGTTATAATTGTACATCCCACTGGAAACAGTCAGTGGCATATCAACTCAGCGTATATAAAATGCATATATGAAATTGTTCAAATGATACTTGTCCCAAATTACTTCCTTTCAAAGTAAATATGGAGCGAAGCAACAAGGTATTAGTGTGTAAAAACTCCGTATCTTAATGTGAATTGACTATGGTGAAGGCAGTGAAGAAGAAATTTGTCAAGAATTAATTTTTCTTTTAGGCTTTTCAGCCGCAGAGATGCTGAAGATGATGGAATACTGAAAAGGAGGGGAAGACAAAGTCCAAATGCTAATCTTGTGAAGACATTAGTGTTTTTCTTTTTGGAAAGTGAAGTAAGTTGAGTTTCAGGGATGTCCTTGTTTTTATGATTGGGGGGGGGGGGGTTTGGTTGTTGTTGTGGTTCTAATTTTTGTCAGTTAAATTTTGTTGGTTTTTTCCCCCATTCAGTGGTTAATAACCATGAATCTGTCCTGGTTTTCCTGTTGTTTGAGCAACCCGGGGGTCAAAAGACTGTTTTGTATGGTTGTGTTTATTTGAAGGTTCTGTCAGTATTGAGATAGGCTGTGAGTGCTGCTCTGATAAACATGATGATGTAGAAGTGTAAAGAAATTGTGATTTGATAGATCTAAAAGGGAAGAGAGAAAAAAGCAAAAAACCCAACAATGCCTACCCACCTATACCCCAAGTTCCAACAGATCCTATAGCACTACTCCTTGTAGCTGTTGGTCTGGATTCATCTTTTAAAGTTAATTGAGGAAGACAATCTTCTGATTAACCAGAGAGTTTGCAAAACTTGTTCTCTATTTTTGCCACAGGCAGGTGCCCAGTGGGAGAAATACTCTGTATTATAGTTCTGTAATAATTTTCATTGCTGATAAAGTACTTATGTGTTCTTATTTTAGTTGCATGAACATGCTGCTTATCTTGTGGACAGCATGTGGGACTGTGCAACAGACCTCTTGAAGGACTGGGAATGTATGAACAGTCTTCTGCTGGAGGAGCCTCTCAATGGAGAAGAACGTAAGAGATTTTGTAGATCTTTGTTTATATTGCTGTGCAGTTTTTGTTAGGCTTGAAATAAGGGAAAAAAGATGTTTACATATATTTTCTGTCTTTCCATGACTATAAGAAGTCACTAATACCAATTATGAAATGTGAGGAGGAAGTGTAGAAAGAGATCACCACCTGGTATGGAAGTGTTACACAAGAACAATGGTTAGAAGAAAAGAGAAGGAATTAGCATGCAGTGTTGCCTTGGTGTTCCACAAGTTCAGGCTGCACTTTTGGCATAGAGAAACTAAGCTGCTTGTGAAACTGGTTAATTTATTGTTACAACTGCCATATGGAAAAATACCATAATTTCTTTGATGACAGTAGACCCAAACAAAACCCCTGGTATAATTCTGTAATTCATAGGTCCTAGTAAATGGACATCTGAAAAATAGAAAGCAGGTAAAATAATTACAAAACGTAGTGTTTTTTCCATCCCATCCTATGACCCATCCAGTGATAGATATTCCCTCAATTTTTCAGTATTTTCTGGTGTCATTTCATAAGGTACTTTCTCTGTCCCCTCTGTCACCCCCATCTCTGGAATTGAGCTGTTGGTCTAAATGTCTCTCTTTTTGCCTTAAACAAAAAAAGCTGGAAAAAAACCTAAAACCCAAACAAAAACCCAGTATATCTCAATCCTTGTGGAAAATGAAAAATAAGTTGTGTGTTAACATCTGTTTCTTAAATTTCAGCTTTAACAGACAGGCAGGAAAGCGCACTGATTGAAATCATGCTTTGTACCATTCGGCAAGCGGCTGAATGTCATCCTCCGGTGGGAAGAGGAACGGGGAAAAGGGTAGGAAGCAAAAAACCTGCTCATCTAGAAATGTGGGAATGGCTCTGTGGGGCCACTGTGGGAGGGAGGAGGAGACTGTAAGCTGTTGCTGCTGAAGGGACTGAGATGGGAGATTCAGCTTTGGTCTCCACATCTGACTACCCTGGCTGGTTTGCTTTTTCTGGACTTGGGCACGTGCTTAGTACTGTTCAAACTACTGCATTTGTTTGTACTATTAAAATAATAAAAATTGATTTTGAAAACAGTATTGGTTTGAAGGGAGGACTAGAATCAATGTTTAGGAAAAGCTAAAACTGTTTTCAGTGGGAAAGAGCAAAATGAGGGACAGGAAAATACACCACATAGTGTCTTGAAAGAAGGCCAGTCCACCAGTTCTCTTTTCTGTGGTTGTATGGAGTTCAGACAGCCTCTTTCGTGGAGACATTAAGCAGTCTTCTCTCAATACTGGTGCAAATTTTGGTAAAAAACCCATTTAGGAGCAGGCTGAAAGCTTGTTTGAAAATAGGATTGACAAATTAATTGAGCAAATATTGTTTAAAATTGTAGGCTGAAGGGGTTCCCATTCTTACATTATCATTCCAGTCATGGTATTTTGTTGCAGGAAAGGTAAACCTTTTGTTCCAGGTTATCACTTCTGTTTTCAAGATAATCTTAATAGTGTTAGGACTGACTTTTAATTGCATTTTTGAATGCTGAATGTTTGTTTTTTCCTTTTTATTTTTTTTTTTAATTGCACACTTTCCCGCTGCTTTACATTGACACATTACAGTGATTTTAGAGGTCCATATACCTAATCATCATTTCATTAATGATAATGAAACTTTGCACCAGAACTTTTACCTGTAACATTCTCACAATACCAATGTTTTAGGTGCTGACAGCAAAGGAAAAGAAAACCCAGCTGGATGACAGGACAAAAATTACTGAGCTTTTTGCGGTGGCACTTCCTCAGTTGCTAGCAAAGGTAGGTTTAATTCCATTTTTTGCTGATGGATGATTGTTGAAATGTTTACAAGTATATTTCTGTAATTAACGATACAGCTTGCCACGAGTTTGGTATTTTTTCTTACTAATCCTTGTTTATATTTACTTGTTCTATAATGAATTGTGTCGTCCAAGACTTTTTCAACTAAACTTTCCTCCTTGCCAATTTTACAGTATTCTGTAGATGCAGAAAAAGTCACCAACTTGCTGCAGTTGCCACAGTACTTTGATTTGGAAATTTATACAACGGGGCGATTAGAAAAGGTACAGTAACATCCACACATAAACATTAAAGGAAAAGTCCCAGAATTTAGACATCATCACTGGAATTTCAATCACCATTTTAGGAGTGGTTTTTTGTGTAAAGGAGATTTTATTTATTGTAACCCTTACTGATAGTGTGACTTCAATTTCAGCGTTGTGACTGGCTGCTCTTCTTAGAGATACTGAAAATATGAGTCTTCTAAGGCCTGTCTGGCCAGCTTTAACAGAAAATCTTCCGGTTAAATGAACTTAAATTGAGAATGTTTATTGCTGGGTTATGGTCATATTTGTGATAGCTGTCTGACAGATAAAGCTTGTAGAAACAGCTCAGTAAGTTCTTTTTCTGTCACTGAAACTAGAAAACCACCACGATCTTTGCATGAAAAAGAGGAAGCATACCAGATCACAAATGATGCAGTTACTGCTCTCATTTTATCTGCTAGGATGATGAAGTCAAAGCTGTTCTCATCTCTGTCTCATTGTCAGATGTGCTATTGCATTGTGAAGGAAGTAGCTGGAAAGCTCGTTAGAGTCAAAAAGTGATGAAATGTGTAGATGACAGCACAGCCAGCAGTGATCGAGCAGCAGTGAGCATCTCAGGTTGAGGGGAGGAATATAAGAACAGCTGAAGTTGGCTTTAGTTGGTGGACAGTTGAGTGTTATGAAACTAGAACTTCAATTGCACAGCTTTTAAGGCACACATAAACATGCATACATGTTTGTGTGAGTGGGAGGTAAATACTTCTGTGTTGTTCAGTTGTCACTGCAAATTCAAGTGTTTGATAAGACCATACCAACAATAGCAAATTTTTAATCACTTCTGTGATTTGGTCTTTGACAAGCTCCAACTTAATTTTTGATAAATAGACTTAATTTCTCAGAAGCTTCACTGATTTTCTAGAAGGTGTTTGTGTTCTGTATCATAGTTACAAAAGTAATAAACAGAATTTATCTTTTAAAATTCTTTAAGGTTTATTAAAAATGCGTGTGTATATTTGCGTGTGTATATATAGATACGAATACATCTTTTTTTCTTTGGCTTGTCTTCCTTGTAGCATTTGGATGCCTTACTGCGACAAATTCGGGATATTGTGGAGAAGCACACAGATATAGATGTTTTGGAAGCCTGTTCAAAAACCTACCATGCTCTCTGTAATGAAGAATTCACAATTTTTAACAGGGTTGACATTGCAAGAAGTCAGTTAATAGATGAATTGGCAGACAAGTTTAATCGACTTCTTGAGGACTTCCTGCAAGAGGTATTTTAATGTGCAAGATCACCTTTTCCTGCCCTTGTAAATATTTTCAGTAGTTTTTCTATCTTTCTCTGCAAGTCAGAGCTAGGGATGGGAGCTTCCCTCTGGTTTTCAAAACTCTTAAGTCAAGTGCAATAATACAACAGTGTCACTGCTGTGATAGTGTGAACACAGACTGTTCTTCTAGTGAGTCTTTAATTTTGGTCTCCTTTTGACAAGAGTCCTTTGGGAATTCGAGATAAGTTTCAGATAAACAATTAAATACATAAACTTTTTACTCTTAGCTTTTGAGGCTTACATGTTTGAGAGTTGTAGTATTGTAACTCCCCTAGGATTCTCCTCAGATGTACTACTGTTGCTAGTCTTGCCTGTGGTTGCATGTTGCTGTTGTTAAATATCAAAATCTCTAGAAAACACTCCCCCTCCCTTCCTGAATGCAAGCAGATGCAGTTAGCAGATCAAAAATAACTTTGTTCCCACACTGTGTTGATCTCAGAAGTGAGAATCTTCTGATGGAGTATTTAACTTCACTATGTGGGATCTCTGACATTCAGACAAAATTTGTTTCTCCTTTTCATCTGTGGTGAGGAGCATAGGAAGTGTCTTTTTGACAGCTTCATTCTTAACATTTCCTAGATGCATGTAGTCTGTCAGGCTCTCCTTTTTTCTCTTGCTTGTTGTCCTGAACTAGAACTCCATTCTAGAAATCCTAAACAAGAAATGTGCCCATTTGTTTCCCTTTGTGATAAAAAGAAAGAATGAGAGGTAAAGCAAGGAAATGAGATGTCAGAAGTTGGCTTGAAGGAAAAAGGCAAATACTCTGGTGGAAGTGTTGAAATCCTTAGTTCTTTGATAGATTGTGCAACTACAGAATAGTAAAATTTGCATTATCTCTGCTAGACTAAGGAGCAGTTTCTTGACCTCAGATAGTTTATCTTATGTACAAATACTTTTTTGACTCTTTGATTTTTACTCTTTTTTCACTAAATGCAAGTTTGTCAGAGCTTATGGGAAGATTAGAACAAACCAGTTCCCTTACCTCACTCAAAAGACTTTTTTCTGTGATTAAAGTAAGACTGAAGTACTGACCTGTGGCCCGTCTAGTCCAGTGTCTTTTGTCTGACAGTGGCCTCTGCTGGATTCTTCAGAGAAAATAGAAGCACCTACATTATACATTGCATTTCACTAGCCTAGGCTTTTTACTTTTTTTCTCCCTTCTCCTTCCTTGCCGCCCCCCTCCTCCTCTCTCTCCCTCAGCCGTTATTTTATAGAATCCTAGAATTGTGGAGGTTGGAAAAGACATTGAACATCATTGACTCCATTTCTAGATGTGAACTGCTGGCTGCCCTGTCTCTCTCTCTTTTGAAAGCATATGTGACATGATGAATAATTTATCAATAATTTAGAATCAGGTCCGCACCCTCTCCTGCCCCCAGTTTGGGGGTGTGTGTGTGTTTCGTTTTATTAAGTTCCCCAGTTCACTGAGACTGCACTGCTTGAGATATCTCACTGTATGATTATTAAATAGGGGGAGGAACCTGATGAAGATGATGCATATCAAGTCTTGTCAACACTGAAGAGAATCACTGCTTTTCACAAGTAAGTAGGCTTCTGCACATGTCTGTCAAAGTTTGTGGTGGGGAAAATTGTTTGTTTTTAATATGATGCATCTTACTTTTTAATGCAACTTCATGGTATTGTTTTGGGATTTTTTTTAATTTTTTGTGTGTGTGTTGGTTTGGGTGGTGAGGTATTCAGTGGCTGGGTTTTTTAAACATAATTTTAAAAATGTAATTAATTAATTAATTGTTTTTGACCAGTTAAGCTTTTAGTAGTTGTTAACCTCAAATTGCAGGAAGAGTATTAGTTAAATAATACTTATTGCTTCATTTCTAATGCTTCCAGTGCTCATGACCTATCAAGATGGGACTTGTTTGGCTGCAACTACAAGCTATTGAAAACTGGCATTGAAAATGGAGACATGCCAGAGCAGGTCTGTAGTTAAAATGTGTTCTTTAGGCACAACAACAAATAGCTTTTTTTGTTGTCTTTTATTGGACTTTGTCATCTAATGCTTTTTGTCCTTTTGATTTCAGATTGTTATTCATGCACTGCAGTGTACTCATTATGTAATCCTTTGGCAGCTAGCAAAAGTTACTGAAAGCAGTTCCACAAAGGTATGCCTTGTTGCTGTTGTATTAGTAAATAAACATTTGTACATAGCTGCAGTGTCAGCAAGTGAGAACTGTGATGGAATTAATTAAAACTAGGAATTTTCTTTATATTGATACCTACCTAATCCTGCTTATTAAATAAGTTCTTCTGAATTAATAGTTTCAGTAGTCACATTCTTTACTTTTACAAGCCTAGTACTTCCTTTAATTGTTTTTATTAAAATGTCAGTATTATGTTTAATTTGACTGAATTTTAAAATAATAGTAAATAAACATGATACCTGTCAGCCACAGTAGCAATGCCAAGAAGGGGTAGAATGGAAGTTACCAAACACAGAATAGTTAATCTTACTACTCTGAGGTAGTTGATTTGGATTTATTTAGAAACCTTGTAGTATCAGTGGCAAGTTGGTGAGATCTAAGAATTTTTACACTATCATAGTATTCTTATTGCTCAGTGTGTCACAATCCTACTTTATCTTTAATCAGTCTTAAATCTATTGTTAAATAGAGATGTGAAGATTAAGTTAAATTTCAGATTTTTTCAGGGAATGATGAGAGGCCCTGTTCTGGTTCTAAGTATAGTAATCTTGAAGGGCAAAGCTCTGGCAAGTGTCATCTTTCTAATTTCACTTCTTGAAAAATCTTAGAGAAAGGATTAAGGTTTCCTGTATCAAGCATTGCTTGAAGAGGTTGATTAGGTGGTTCACTGTGTGAACTGCCAAACAAAAAAAGGCTTTTTTGAAAAGGCCTAGCTTGTTTAGAATGGAATTTGTAAGTGCTGAAACATTTTAATGATTTCTCTATCTAAAATTAAAAAATGTAATCCCTGTAATCAAACATACTTTTTCTGCAGTTCCTGTAAGAAGAGTGCTTTTTTACTGGAAATCTGTGCTGGAGTTGCACTTCATTATTGGAGTTACTGTTAACACACCTTTCTTTATGTCAGAGGGGAGACAAGTAAATTCTTCAGGTTTTTCAAACACTTTGATTATCATGCCTGTAATTAATACAGGAAAAAAAAAAAAGTTGTATATGACTGTCACAATTTACTAGGGAGAAAACAAAGAGAACTCATGACATTAATAGTGTATGAGTAATTAATAATCCATTATTACAATACTCTCATTTTAATGTGAGGATACATACATTTTTCCTTTAATTTTTTTAAATTTTATTTTAGGATGTTGTAGTTTGAGCTTCTGGTAGATGCAGGAGTGGAAAATCATGCTGTGTAACTCATACTAATGATCTTATAACAGAGAACACCTGTATCAGATTACTGTGGTTTTCCCCTATCTGTTGAGACTTCTTTAGTCCAGTGAGTAATTATAGTCTGAAGGTGTTAGAGATGAATATGAACTTCACCACTGGCTGGTTAGTTTACCCATCTGTGTTTTTAATGGCTTTTAACATTTCCAACCCCAAATACCTGATAAGAAGTGGCTGCACAGATTGTTGAGAGGCGGCGTAGGTGTGTGAAGGATTTGGAGGTTTTGTTACCTTATTCCTTAAAGGGTAAACAGCAGTCTTGAGGTTTTTGTAACTGTGATTCAAGATTTATCACAAGCCTAATGGCAGAAGATGAGCTAAATACTGACAAGTTAGTTTAGAAATGAAGATTAACCTAGCTGTTTTGCAGCAAAATGTAATTTGTAATACTTTCAGCAGGAATGAAAAGAACTTAATGGAAAAGTGGTCCCTTATTGAGATTATTTTCTGCTCCTACATAACAGGTTCTTTAGTTACTACTTTTTTTATAAAATAATATGATTTTCATCCCAACTGCCATCTCTTCTGTGCTACACAGAATGACAAAATTAAGGAAATTGCTACTTGCTAATTTTATTTGTAATGGTGATTTTTTAGAATAATGTAGTGGACTTGAGTGTTACCACTAAGGTCTGTGGTGGAATGCTCTGTGAAAGTGAATGCACTGTATGGGACTATAAAATTGAAAAAGTAAAACTGTTACATGAAATCATTCTCTTCAAAGGAGGATCTTCTACGTCTAAAGAAGCAGATGAGAGTGTTCTGTCAAATCTGTCAACACTACCTGACCAATGTAAATACTGCTGTTAAGGAACAGGTTAGTGGCTGTTGTTACTTGGAGTCTTGTAATACTGTACTTTTAACACAGCTGAAAAGTTCCTCTTGGTAATATTTTTGGCACTTGTGTGGGAACGTGATGTCCTGGCTGTTCAGGCTGCCCTTTGAGTGTCAGTGCCCATGGTACTTGTGCGCTTGTCCTCCTCATGTACATAGGATTTCAGAATCAATTTAAACTTGATTCTTTTGAGTAATTTTAGGCAGCATAATGTTTTATGCAAAGGAGCTTTTTGTTACTTTAAGTAATGACTCTGCAGGTGCTCTGTAGAAGCCTCTGGGTATAAGCTGAGTGAGAGTTCCATTTCAAACCTCTTGCTTACCATGTGCTAATGACCCACATCTCCTGTGGAGCTGTGGATTCATAGCCTCAAAACTGGCTAAGGATGGCAGTTTATTTAAAAGGGTTTTTTTTTGTTTTGTCTTTGAATGTATGCATGTGCAGCTTCTCTTCTTTCTCTGTGTTGCTTCATAACACAATATATTCCTCAGTTTTCCGGAGTCCCAAGAATTTGGGCATCTCAAAATCAGATGATAAAAAACGACTACTTAAGATGAATGTGTATGTGTTTATACATGCACAAAGTAGTCACTGTAACCTAGGAGAGTTTATTGTTGGGAAATGGGAAATTTTTGGAGTCACCTTTAGGAACAGTCTCAAATTGCTCTGTTGGTAATAGTGTTGTTCTGAGATGCTGTAGCAAGTGCTTGGAAGCCTCAGCAATGATACACTACTTGGAAAAGATGTGAGCAGTTTTATAGTTAGTCCCTCATACAGTTGCCCTATGGGGGGAGAGTTTTTAGCTGGAAGTTCTTAAATGTTTCAGACATAAAAAATGTAGATATTGAGCTTGAGTGAGGAATTCATGACAGTTCAGGCAGGAGGAGACAGAAGTCCTGACTTTTTCAAAATGCTGGCATGAAGGTTTTGGGAATTGTCCTTAGTTTTTGCTTCTGTTTCAAAAAGAAGAGACATTGGGAAACACTTGTCCTGAGTTCTGAGGATAACAGAGTTAAAAAAAAATAAAAAATTAAGCTGTAGGGGCTGAGTCTCTTCAGTCTGTGGGCAAATAGTTCTTTGGCTAGGACACTCATAGGACTTTGAGGTTCCAGTGAAGAGCACAGGTTACTGATAGCAGAATTAATTCTAAGTAAATGCCTTTAACAATCTTTAAAATGCTAAAATGAAAGAAAATGAAGTATGCCTCTACAGGGGAAGGACCAGATTATCTTCTAGGTAGACAGTTTAATTAAAGATAAAGGAAGCCAGTAGCCTTTTTGCTGCTGAAGATAATAATAACCTGGTTAAAGTGGAAAATCTGGTCCACTGAGTCTCACAATTGCAGCTTTTGAAACTCTTGCTAGAACAAGAATATTCCTGGAGCTTAATAGGTATGTTCTGTGTCAAAGAGCTATCTAGTGTAATAGTCATAAGGTGTAGGGTGTGCAAGTGCTAGTTAAAAAAATTACTGAAGCTCTCTGAGTAGGTCTCTCTAAGGCTGTATGACTCTCAGACTCTGGTGAACACTCTAGAAACCGGAGCTGCCTAGTTACACAGGGCACCTGTCACATAGGTACAATGCTCCACTTCCTGTGGGTCCCACTTCCCTTCTCTAATTTCTTGAAAGGATACAAGGGACATCAGAGGAGCACATGTGTTTTTTGTGACCAGGAAATAGTAATACTTTGAGGAGTTAGAGAACAGACCTGTTCATGGAGTACGCGGGAGATTAGAGCCAAAGAGAAGGTGCAGCACTGAGGAGCTTGTTGCCTTGGTCTGCTAGTGTGAAGAACGTCAGTCTCTGTGTCTGTACAAAGACATTTAAACCTTCTGGAGCAGTGGAGTACAGACATTTAAATCTGATATCAGATGTACTAGTTAGCCAGCAAAAGAAAAAGTTGGTTGCACTTAAGATTTTTGGACATTAGGATTTAAAGGGATTGAATAATCTCAGCTGCTGTATGTTAAACAAGCATGATTGAAACAATTTGAAGAAAAGACTAAAAAGGAGATTGTACTATGGTCAAAGTCCACAAAGTTCTCTAGTGACCTAATGAGTATCCATCAGGTTGAATTTGGGAGTTTCAGGCTTCTCATGTTTTAGTCTTGCAATATTTTCACATTTAGTTTGGCATCATCTGTGCAGTGTTTTTATTTGGAGATCCTTCTTGATACAGGAACTTGCTGTGTGAAGCTATGCACATTTTGACTTTAGTTGGCCTTTGTATCTGTATAGGGCTTCAGTGGCCTGTGTACACTGTTGAGATCTTGAGTATTTTGTCAATTGCAAATACATTATTCTAAACAAAATCCACTTTCCAAGCAAGTATTTATTAAGATTTCTTTTTAACAGGCTTTCACAATTCTGTGTGATGTGTTGATGATCTTCAGCCATCAGATTATGACAGGAGGACGTGACATGTTGGAGCCACTTGTTTACACTCCTGATTCTTCCTTGCAATCTGAACTACTCAGTTTTATTTTAGATCATGTCTTCATTGATCAGGATGATGATAATAATAGTGCGGGTTTGTACAAAACTTATATTTCCTTTTTATTTTTTGTTTTCTAACTAATATCTTTGTTTCCTTGTGCATTTCTGGGTTTTCGTGGTGGTGGTATTTTGTTTTTGGGTTTTTTCTTGTTTGCCTCGTTGTTTTTTTGTTTTTATTTTGTTTTGTCATTGAGAGGTGTGCATGTGCACAGAGGTAGGTGTGGCTTTTGAATGTCAGCAGCTGATTAAAGGATTTTCTGTATTGGGAACATGTAGGATAGTTGCAATAAAGGTTTGGTTAAATAGGCTCAAATATTTATCTCTGTATCAGGGTAACAGACATGTCAGTGGACAGTGAAGTACATTGCCATCAGAACTGAGATCTGATTTTCTGAATCATGACCACTAGCCCATAACCCTTTTATATATAAATGTTTAAACATAGAGTCTTTAAACCTGACAATATTCCTGTTCTGAACTCTTTCTAGATGGACAGCAGGATGATGAAGCCAGCAAAATTGAAGCGTTGCACAAAAGAAGAAACCTGCTTGCAGCTTTCTGTAAGCTCATTGTGTACACTGTGGTGGAAATGAACACAGCCGCGGACATTTTCAAGCAATACATGAAGGTAAATTTGAAGCTTAGTAGTGGTACTTCATAAAACTACTAAAATACAGTAGTTGTGGGATTTTTAACTATTACTTGTTTTTTACCTTACAAGATATCTGGTTCAAAATGTGAAGAATTCGGTACTCCAGAGTTCTAGTACCGTTTTTGTATGTAGGGAGAAAAATTACTGAGATGAGATTTACAGTTCAGTGTTGTGTGTGTGGGAGGGACCAAGGAGGGGAACTAATTATTTTAATGTTGTTTTTACTAGTTTTATTTTCTTGTTCTGATTGATGGTGTATTTTTAATTCACTTAATAGTTTAGTAGGCCTTTTGAGGATGTTCTTCCCAAGATCAACTCCGTAATGTCTAGTCTCATCCAATAATTTAAGTTTAAACTTTGTAGAAGAGAAGTAAAATTTGAGTCCCCTCTCCCCATATATCTGTTTCAATCTTACTTAAATATAAAAACCTCTCCTGGCTCATGGGATTCACAGCTGCACACTAATATGAGTTCTCATTTTGTGAACATGATAAAGCTTTGCTCCTTTGTGATTACCTTAAAAACTTACAATTTCGGCAGCCTGCTTTTATCTGTCTTGAGTGCCCTACATATATTTTGATTCTCCAAAGAACTAATTGGGTCTTTCTTAAACCTGAAATACTTAAAAAACTGAACAGACAGCTGTCGTTGTTGGACAAATTATGCCTGTGATGCTGTCTGTAAGTGCATCCTTTCAGCAGAGAAAATAAAACTCCCCACCAGAGTTACAGGAGTTAGTAAAAAGATTAGATTCTAATCTTGTACCCTGAAGGGGTGAACATGTGCTGTTAACAAATATGTCATGGCCTTGAAGATAAATAGGTCATTCTGCCTCTAAAGTAATACTCACTGCAAGAATGAAAAGTGGGTTTATTCTTTTTGCATTTAGTTTTTTTTTCCAATTATTATTCTGGAGGTGTTTTAGGGTGTAATTTTGGTAATCATGAACATGTTGGGGTTTTTTTCCTTTAGGTAATGTTTGATTTTTCTTTTTAAAAGAGCATATCCTAGATTTTGTTTTCAGAAGAATTCAGTAGTTGCAATGTTTTCAACTAACATTGACAGTTAACCTTTTTGTTTGTTTTTCCTAGTATTACAATGACTATGGTGATATTATTAAAGAAACAATGAGTAAAACAAGACAGATAGACAAAATCCAGTGTGCTAAAACACTTATTCTTAGTTTGCAGCAGGTAAGAGTTTACAGTACTTTTATGCATGAAATTCCATACTGTAGATGATGTCCTGTTGTTTAGTAACTAGTTTGAGATATTGATGATGAAATTTTTATGGGCACTAGGGATAAGTAGGTCTAAATTGAAACACATTCTCTGCAACTGTGTGAAAAACTGGAAGAAGTCTTCCTATACTTAACAAATATTGTACCACAAAAAATGTAGGAGAGGTCAATAAGTACAAAATGAATGTAACTCTATGAAACCTTCACAACTCTAAAATCATAGTTTAAGTAAAGTATTCAGATATATGTTGTAATATGTCCAGTTTACATGTTTATGAGCAGATAAATGCTTCCTGCCTGTGTGGTAGGGGGTTGGGGTTTTTTTTGTGGGGGTTTTGTTTAGGTTTTGGGTTTTTTAAACTATTCTGACGATTAATTTGAAGTTTTAGTAGTTTCCTAATGTTTAGTAGAGACTTCACACATTTGACAATAAAACTTAATGCTCTCTTCAGTAAAGTTTGTTTGTGTGGACACCTGATGAATTCAGTTAAAGTTAGCATTTGATGCATCTGCTCACATAAACCATCTGCATGGATTTTATTCACAGGCTCAGAACAGTAGAGATATATATCTCCAGAACACTAATCCAACATATATTACTGCTGTCCATGAAAGGAAAATCTACCCAAATATATTTTCTCTATCCCTGGTTTTTGACTAAAGGTTATAGAGCTACATAGTGACTGTGGATCTGGATATTGAGCCTGGTGAAGGCCAGATGGAAATAGTCCTTTTTAAATTAAGGACTGGTTTAGCAGTATGGATATTGCCAAAACAAGGGAGAATGAGGCCTTTCGTTTTGATGGCAGCATGACTCTTAAGTAGCTGGTAGAACTGCAGTGTAAAATATGTAACTAAAGACTCTTTGTTTTATTTTTTGTAATACAAAAGAGTAAAGGGTGTGTTAGACAAAATTTCAAAAAATATTACTGAAGTGAATTGTAGTTGAATTCAGTAGGATTGAGAAAGGATTGATCAAAGAAAAGACAAGACTGAAGTTCAGAGTATTTGGCTTTGACAACTATTGATAAGTACTTAAAAATCTCATAATCAGTGACAGAATTTCTGGTGTCTTTGGCAATTTCCCTGAATACGTTTCCATTTTGGAGTTTCTTCTTTATACTTGTATTTTGAGAAGAACAACAAAAAAAAATTGGGAACTAGTAGTTTGACAAAGTATTTTAGGAAAGATCAGGTGACGATCACCCCAATTTATTTCTTCTGTGTTGGTGTATGTAATTAGGGAATCCTACTAATTTTTTGTATTCTTGAATTTAGAACACCTTGATTTAGTGAAGCACTGAAATCTGTCATCCACTATGTCTGCAGTTTGAGCGCTTGATCAGCGCATTTCAAAGTTTATCTCTGGGGTGTAGATTCTTCCAGACTAGCCCTGACCTTGCTGTCCAAAATGTCCATGTTTGTCTCTTGGTGTTGTCAGATTAGGAGTGGGGGGGAAAAAGCTGTGAAACATACTCTTAAACTGAAACTTCTCTGTGTATTGCTCCAAACTTTGACATAATCTTTTAATACAAAAAAAAATTCCCTTTTTATTCCATGCAGCTCTTCAATGAAATGATTCAAGAAAATGGTTATAATTTTGACAGATCATCACCAACATTCAGTGGCATAAAGGAACTTGCTCGACGTTTTGCTTTAACATTTGGATTGGATCAGTTGAAAACAAGAGAAGCTATTGCTATGTTACACAAGTAATTGTGTGCTTTGTATTACTTCCATTTTTGTAAACACTTCTTGACTAACATAAGATTATCTCCTTAGTCTTTGAAAATGAGTTTGTTAATACTAAGTGCATCCACCCTAGAGATGATTTAGCCCATATATTAATTAGGGGATGACTGCAGTTTTGTCTCTGAGTGAAACCTAAATGTTTAATGTTGTTGGTGTTCTCCAGCTTCTTTGTATAAGCGTGTAAATGATAGCAGTGTCAATGCTATAATGAAAAAGCCTTTTGAATGTCTTGTCAATAACAGTAAGAACAGATCCACTTCATTGTCAGTGGTGGTCATGTTGGCTTCATGCAGAAAACCTGCAATGCAAGGTAGAAATTCCATGACAGAAAGTGTGTCTAGGTTCAAGTAATAACTAGTGTTCACTTTCTTGCTGGAATATGGAAACATGGAATTATTGCTTTCTTGACATAAAGGAAAGGGGTGTGATTTTGGTAGCTCACAGTGCTCTGAACTTCTGTTTGTTCTTTTTCTGATGTAATTTTTTATTTCTTCTTAGGGATGGCATAGAATTTGCTTTTAAGGAGCCTAATCCACAAGGTGAGAGCCACCCACCATTAAATTTGGCATTTCTCGATATTCTCAGTGAGTTCTCCTCGAAACTTCTCAGACAAGACAAAAGAACAGTGTAAGTATTTTAATATTTGTAGTATTTTTAATGATAAGCACAAAAGACATTCATCAGAATAAATGTTTGTGTATTGTATTCATCTAAAGTGGAATCTTTGACACATGAAGGTAAGTTCACACTAATGTAGTCAAGTGTACTCACAGAAGGTAAATTGTATTTATCATCATTATTTTTCATTTTATGGTGGATAAACAGAAATTGTGTTCCAGATTTGCTGTTGTCAGGACTTTGTGTTAACTAGATGAGGAACATGGGCTGATAATTTCAGTAGCTACTTATCTTGACATGGTAACATTTTGTTACAGATTTTTGTATCTCTATATTTCTCATTTCATTTAAAGGTATGTTTACTTGGAGAAGTTCATGACCTTTCAGATGTCTCTACGAAGAGAAGATGTGTGGCTTCCTCTCATGTCCTACCGAAACTCTTTGTTAGCCGGTGGGGATGATGATACCATGTCAGTGATCAGTGGAATCAGTAGTCGAGGATCTACAGTAAGAAATAAGAAGACAAAGCCAGCAACAGGCAAGCGGAAAGTACCCGAAGGTAGAACTTCTCTCATCTTAAAATTTTCTAGAATAGATATTCATATAAACTGAACATATTGTTCCATATTTTTTTAGTGTGGCTATATTGGTATGCCTTTATGTATTTTTTCAGAACAGGTAGCCTCTGATCATGTGTGTGTCTTAATGGGAAAAGTATTCATTTGATTCACAAAAGAAGATAAGGGCACTACACAGTGTTGAGTCATACAATAGGAAAGTATAGAGATGCTCCAGCCAGTGATTATAAATCCAGGCCCTTTGAGGCACATGTAAGACTTTATGGCAAAAAGTAAAGCAATTGATTCTCTGTATCACGCATTCAGTTTGTGTTTCAGCATTCCCTTTTAACTAGTTTGAAAAAAAACTTCATGGGTGTTCTTCCTGTGTTTGCTTCCAGCTGAAGAAAGCAGCAGTAGTGACAGTATGTGGCTGAACAGGGAGCAGTCAATGCACACACCAGTCATGATGCAGACACCTCAGCTCACCTCCACGATAATGAGGGAGCCCAAGAGATTGCGACCCGACGAGAACTACATGGGTGTCTATCCTATGCAGCCCGAGCACCACCAACCGCCGCTCGACTACAAGTACGTACACCAGTAGGTCTGCTTGTGTTAGTGTCCATACACAAAACCAGTACATGTTTAAAATAGAATAATGGTCTTTTTAAGCACGCAAGTAACGTGGATGTTGGCTCAAAGGCAACAGGAAGAAGCCGCGCGACAACAACAGGAGAGGGCAGCGATGAACTACGTCAAGCTGAGAAGCAACTTGCAACACGCCATGTGAGTGGAGTGGGATGCTCCTTCAGTGGGTCAGGGAGGGGAGGGTTTGTAATTGCAGTGGTAACGCCTGTATCTTTCAAGAAGAACACATCTTCTAAGTTTAAAAGTTCTCTGCATTCTTTAGGACAGTGTGGTTCTACAGAAAGAAAGTACACATTTCAGACAAAAACCATGGGCATGGTTGAGAGCGTTGTTGAGGGCTCATGTATTGAGGGGCTCATGTATTGAGGAGCTTTATGTCTTTCCCCTACTTTTGATTATTTCCAGTACTTCATGCAGCATAGTTTCATGGGTGGCTTTTTTTTAATACAGTGACACCAATTAGTATAATTAGAATGACTCCTTAGTTTTCTCATAAGATCTGATGTTTCATGTAGAATTTATGAGGAGAGAGGATGAAGGACTGTGTGGGAGTATTTGTCGTGGTTGTATACATCTACTTTATTTCAAAGGCATTCTTCCTGGCCTTATCATAAGGCAGAAACAATTTTTCTTTAAGTGCCAAAACTTTAGTTCTTTCTCACTTGAGTGTAAATTAGATATGGAGTAGATCTGCTTACCAGTTCTCACACCTTCTCAGAATACCCATTTTGCAACGTACCACAGTTGTCTAAACTGACCTTTCTTGGGCATTCTCCCACGCTCTCTTAGTATTTTCTGGTTAAATACCAGCTTTCTTTAGTAGTAGTTGTGCATTCATTTCATTACTTCATTTCTGCTTTATCTAATGGAATTATCATTTGTTGAGAGTCCCTTACTGAGCATTAGCTTTTTAAATAGATAGAAGGTAACTTGATTTAGTGCTAAACAGTATTGCTTTTCGTTTCAGTCGACGTGGCACAAGTCTAATGGAAGATGATGAAGAGCCAATTGTTGAAGATGTGATGATGTCATCAGAAGGGCGGATTGAAGATCTTAATGAAGGCATGGATTTTGACACCATGGACATAGACCTAGTAAGAAATTTACTTCTCTTTTAGTGGTCTTGGGATTTGTCATTTCACTTTTAAAGTAGGATATTTGAATTAAATTCTTCTTTTTATAAAACAAAATCATTCTGGTTCCTTTCTGCATTGCTAAAGGGCTGTGCTGTTGTCTGTATACAAGAGCCATCTGCTCCAACTGCCATACAAAAAACAACAACGCTTCCTGCCATAACTAATAACATTTATCCCTTGTGAATTCTTACCCCTTGAGAGTTCAGCTTCACTGACTACAGTGTAAAACCTCTGTTTTTCTGGTGAAATTGCACTTAACCTGTTTGTTTGTTTGCTTTCTAAAGCCACCGTCAAAGAACAGGAGAGAACGAACGGAACTAAAACCAGATTTCTTTGACCCTGCTTCAATCATGGATGAATCGGTAGGTTAACTTACATAAGGGGAAAGTAGTGGAAATCAGTCTTAAGGTTGCCATACTCTCTTTACTGCAGATTTTAAATGGAAAGAATGCAATCATCAGGTTGTCACTGTTAGCTTATTTTGACAGACTGGTACAGTAATTCAGCTCCATACATTCTAGGATAGTCAGTGTTTCTTGCAATTTTATGGGATTTTTGTTCCTTATAGCTATATATAGCTATGTAAAAGTTAAAAGCCTATGATTCTGAGCAGGAAACACATTTGTTATGGAAAAGACTCTAGCAGAGGCTGATAGCAGAGCATTAGAAAATGAAGAAATGTGCATACACAGTATTAAAGGCAAGTTTCCTGTTATGCTGAGCTTAGTTCAGTGACTCTGATGTCATTACCAAATGTCAGCATTAGATGGTTTGCATTTTGTGTTTTTTTTTTTTTGATTGGCATATTTACTTTTGTGCATAAGTAAGATAATTGAGAAAATAAGAGATAATACAGATATCTGTTTATAGAGATGAGAGGTATTTTTTCTTTCCATATAAAGTTTTAGGTCCAAAACATCCGAAGTCTGTAGTTTCTGCTTGCAGTTGCCCTTTTATCCGACTTGATAAATCTGCAGTCTCTATTCTCTTTTAAAAATCTGCATGAGGGATTCCTTCTGTCTTGAACCACTTGTAAAGTATGCAGCCATTTTTGACCTTGGGTAGCTGGTACAAAATTGCACTGGAAATAACAAGCTGCAACAAGCCAGCAGAGGACAGTACAACAAGGCTTCCTGGGAATCTTGGACAGCTTGGTGGAATTTGGAAGATGGTTATGTATTTTTTTACAGTATTGTTGCAGCGTGAACCTGTTCTTGTTCATGGGAGAAAGAAGTCCGAAATACTGTTATAACTGCAAATCCATATATTTTGTACCAGTAGGGCTTTGCTTTAGTAATAATGAATCAGTTAGGTTGTGCGTCTGGCTGTTGTGTGTTCTTTTCCTGAATTAACACCAAGAAAATCTCTCGCCTGTTCTCTGACATTCTGTTTTACAATAGTTCTTGCCCTCCTCTTCTCGATTTTTCCTGGACTGATCTGTGAAGTACCAGTCACTTTTTAGTCTGACAATGCTGAAACCTTGGCATTCTCCCGGTTGCATTTAACTGGTTCGAGCACCCTTTTAGCTTTGCAGCTCTCCCTGGCTGGGGCCGCTCTGGCAGGTCGAGGTTCCTGACGGGCGCAGTGCGCGGGAGCGGCCGCGCGGGGGCAGCCGCCGGCAGCGCAGCGCAGCGCGGGCGGGGCCGGGCGGGAGACGGGCCCGGGAATCGCGGCAGCCAGAGCCCGGCCTGGCAGGCAGCGTTCCGTGTCAAATAATCATTGCATAAATGCAGGAGTTCTCAGAATAAAGTTAACTTGCTTTATTCATATAAGTTATTTCAGGGGTCCCTTATTCTTGGAGCTTTGCACATGTTTTTAATAGGTGTAGACATAATAAAGCTGTTTAATTTATTCAGATGCACATGGCTTATGACTAGACCTCTAGTCGGATGTGCCCAGTTATTGCTGGCACCAGAGGCAGTTCTGTCTGTGTGCTCTGTTGTAGGAGGCACCCAAAGTGAATTTAATTCAAAGAACAGTAAAAATTTGTTTCTAAACAGATAAATATGAACAGCAGTGTTAAGGTTCATGAAAACTTGGTCTGTTTTGGCTCTTGCTGATTTTTTAAAGCCTTACAAAAGCTAGGACAGTCTCAAAATCTGGATCTCCTGGGGTTTTTTTGGCACATCAGTGGTCATACATACTTCCATTGACATAGAAAGCTGTATGGCTTGTTGTCACCTGGGAAGTGGAAGCTGATTGTTTGTTTCAGGAAACTTTTCCTTTCCCTAGTTACACAATCTCCTGAAGTACAGTTGTTTGATTTTACCTGATGATAGTTTGGTTTTCACTGTCTTCCTGACAGAGTGAATACATTTCCTAGGAAATGTTAAATTTGTGTCCTGGTTGGCTGATGTGGGATGGCCTGTGGTTTCTGTGATCACAGACACAGCAGCAGCCAGTGTTTGGAGTGTTTTGTCCCAGGTTTAGTAGCTGGTAATAACACATTTGATTTCAGGTTAGTGCCGATAGAATGTCAAAGAAGTCTGAGTTAGGCACCTAACTAAAAATTCTTTTGAAATTATTACCTAAAACACTTAAAACACAGGTTTTATTCCTACTGGATCTAGTTAATTTCAAGTGTGAGAAAAATATTTCTGATGAATGAGGAGCCCATTTCATATTATTATCTAAATCAGAAGTGTGGTTAATCTGGTTTGGAAGAAAAATAAACTTAATAATGCCTTAACATATCTTGAAGTGTCTTAAATTATATACTAATTGCTTTGTTATTTGTTAAATGTGTATTAGACTACAAATTGACACCATTTCTAACTTTTTTTTTAGGTTCTTGGGGTGTCAATGTTTTAATACCAGAGCAGCAAATAAATCAGTGGTGAAGTCATTTTCTAAGTGGAAGAGGAAGTTTTTCAATACAAAATTGTGGTAGATACAGTGAAATTCTGAACAGATTTTTCTCTAAGGAGAATGACATGCTTTCAAGATCAAGTGCATTGAAGGGGCAGTTTTGTTTGCCTGAAAGAAAAAAGAAATGTAAAGGACAAGTAAACAATTTGAGGATAAGCTACACTTTTTGTTGGGAAAAAATTCAATATTTTATTTATGTGCTATCAGTTTCTTTCTGGATCATAAGAAGTATTCCCTCTGAGTTTTAATCTTAACAGTCTGAGAGGTGTTTGGTACAGATTTGAGCCCCTCTCTATACATTTGCTGGCTATACTAAATAATCATGAGCTCTGCTGGATTGCTGTTCACGTCCATGAGCTGTAATCGTAGATGGATTGGTTTTCTCACAGTGTAGAACGAACCAGAAGAGTTGTCAGTATTTTTAATTAAATGCAAACTTCAGCAACAGAAGGTTTGTATCAATTAATCATGGAAAAAAATACATAAAGCAGAATTTTAACAGCTTTTTAATCTAAAACACACTTTTTATTCCAAAAGCTTCATGTTAGCCTTCTCAGAAAGGTCCATAAGCTATAAGCTACCAGAACGTAACAGATTTCACTCTTGCTTGCCCATTACCAACCCTGAAAGTTTGCTTGTCCTTTAAGAAAAATGTAATGTTGTGAAATTCCTTCCAGTAGTGCCACTGTATTTTGTCTCCAAATAAAAGAAGCTTATTGTAGTATGTTTGCAGAAAAATTCTAAACAAAAATTATACAGCTTATTAGAGTGTGGGAATAGGGATCTAAATTTTAAATAAAATTATATATATATATAAATTGGTGCTGATTTTATAATTGCGCAGTTTGTTTAGTTTTTTCTTACTTTTAAATTCCAACTTAAAATTATGAGGTTTCAGAAATATATTGAAAGTTTAACAATGTTTAAAAATAGAAGAGCATGAGAATTCATGCTTTAAAAATGATTTTTAAATTTGTATTTTATATTGTTTTATCTATCTGTCTTTGCAAGCAGTCTTCAGGTTAAAGATACTTCTAACAGGTTACAGTACATTTCCTCTATATGTAAATTAGATTGGATAATAGAAACTCATAAACAACCCATAATATTCTTTGAAAGCTAAGCTTTAAATTTCATTTTGTGTCCATTCACAAATAAATTAAATTTGGTCTAAAACAGAAAGTGGATCTATGCCATTTTGACATTGACTCATTTTGCAAGGCTTAGGCAGCTAGACATCATTTTAAAGGAAATATTAACTTATATTACATATGTATATTTTTTGTCAGTTGTCTCTCAGTTCTCGAGGTATATTATTTTAATCATTCCATGCCTTAATACGCTTGCAATACAAGAATCTCCCCAAATGGGTGAATACAAAAAGGCTTCCTGTTTTTAGACTCAGAAATTAAACATTCGGCTGTGGTAGCCAAAAACCATAGATTATCTAAAGGATCATGATAAAATATAATTATTTTACTAGGTCATGGGGTAACAACAAAATGAAAACTAGATCTGCCTAACTCATTTTACATAAATAAATACTCTCATGTCTAAAAGTACTGCCTATATTGTTTTCCACACCACTGCATTTAATAGAACTGCTGAGAGGACTGTATATATGATTTTAAACTTAAGTTGATTTTTCTTACTCTTGAAGGAGTGTTTCTTTGTGAAAGCAGTTCTTACAGCTTTGTTTTCAACCAGCTAAAAATGTTTTATATATTTACCTTAACCTGTTGTCCTCCACATTCTATTGTCCTAATTGTACTGTTTTCTGATTTGTATTTATGTCTTGAGACAGTAACTTTTTGAATAAAAATAAACCTACAGTATGTTGTATGTTTGATCTTTTTAAATTGGGGTTATGGGAGGACAGTGAAGAAAGGGGTATGAGTAATGCAAATGTTATGTTTATAGAAATCAAAATCTTTTTCCATGTCTTTTAAGTGTTTGTCTCAGAGTTGGGATAATGTATGAAAAACTGCACTGTTTTATATTTGTAATAAATTGTACAAGTTTTTAAAATGTGAATAAAGCACTAATTGGGTAATAATTTAAAGCAGAAAAGTTAATGCAATCATGATTGTTTTAAATATGCTTTAATTTGAGATAAACTTGTTAAAAGAATTAGTGTAAATACAGAGTGAGCTTTTGAAGAGGTTAGTACCTGCAAATAAAATTTTTAAAATTTGTATAGAACTTTTACATGCCAAGAAAGCAGTGGTTAATTATTTTTGTGTTACATTTTTTAAAGGTGTATTAATAACCTTTCTGTTGGTTTCTTTTTCCTAATAACTATTATCTGATTTTACTCAGAATGCTTTTGATTCTGACATTGGAGATGCTGTACATAGTCCAATGGAAATACCATTAAATGTGTATGCTACTTTCCATTCCATAAATTGATCATACACCTGGTAAGCATTTTGAGCTTAATTGGCCAGAGAGCAAGGGAATGAGGGGAAAACCCTAAACATCCCCTCCCATTCCCCTCTCCTCAACTACTGAGCACCTCTAGCTGGGATTTGAAAACTCCTTTCTGGTACAAGACTTTTTAAAGCAGTGATTTTAAAATCTTAGAGGGAGAAAACTTTTAATCCTTGCTGATGTAACCTAAGGAGTTTTGGGTTGGTTTTCGTTTTAGTTATTATTATTGCAAATGTTCATTATTCCTGTCTCTAAATCCTGCTGTAAGTTCAATAGTATCTTGTGAAAAATTGTTTTAGTAAGTTCTAAGTTTATAATACAAGAAAAATACCTTCACTATACAATGTAAAGTCTGTTCTAGTTAAATTTTGGTACAAAAGCCTGTAAATGGAAGAAATTGGAGTTTTGAAGAGAGAGATGATAAAAATGTAGAAAAAAACAAACTATTCAGAGAAGGTGAAGCCTGTCCTCTGGTTTACCAGAGAGGCCATAGGGAAGGTATTGACACAGAATGAATTTCAAAGGAATAGTTTCCACATATGCTGTAAAAAGTATTTCTTGATATTAAACAACCAAAGACAATATGTAAGATGTTAGTGATGGCTGTTGTTTGTTTGTTTGGTTTTTTTCTCCTTTGGATGATGTGGTACTGATTCCTGTGGTGTGTTAGAGGTCATAAATCCCCATCTTTAATTTCAGTATAACTAAAAAACCACCCCTTTAAAATCTGCCCCTCTGTATCCCTCCTAATTTTCCCATACACTTGTCCTTGTGTGGCATTTCAGGACAGCAATACAATTCACTTCTTACACATACTGGATTTTTCGAGCTGCTTTGATTCACAACAAACTATAGCCTGATTAATATCAAGGACTTGTTCATTCTTTGAAGCATTTGTCAAAATTGTGAATTTGTGCTTCAGAATTCTTTTGATAAAACACAAGTTGATTCTTTAAAAATATTTTCATTCCTACTTAACTGCGTTAATATTCTTTGACTAATGTGTGATACTAGAATGTAGGTTATGCCATTGCCTCATTTTTCATAATCCTATGTAATTTCTTGTCCTGAGATGGTTTAATTTCATACATATTTGTTGGCATCCAAAAGGGATCATATTTTTGATGGAGGTGGATGATGACACGTACTCTGAAAATGAGGTAATGCAGGACAACACTGTTCTATAATAACTCTGTTTTAAAAGTAACAATTCTGTGTGAATTGTGCCTGTCATTTTCCTCAGCTGTTGTTCTCTCCTGTATCCCTCCTTCATGTTGCTGATCTTTCTTTAATCTATTTCTTTGATTAAATCTAAATTTTCATATTTCTTTTAAGTTTTTACCAGTTAGATGTTGTTACAGCTGTTGCAAATGGTGCCTTCCAGCTAGAGATTCAGTTGCTGCTTTTTGTTGTGGCTTTTTGTAGCTACTGCCAGTTTTTATGGATGTAAATCACAATGGCAGTGCAGTGGTAAGAAGCTACAACTGTGCCCAGAAAAATGATCCAAAGCATGATAAAATGGTTGGGTGGCTGGCTGACAGAAAATGTCCCTGTCCTTCAGAGAATGTGTATGGTTCTGTTATATCATCATGCTTCCCAAACCTGAGTGTGTAATTTCTGCTGAGCTTTTCTCAGCAGTTTTTTGATTGGAAAATAAGAGGAAAAGTCATCATGTTTTGTGTATATTAACTTTTTGTAGAAGAAAAAGCTGCAGCTACCAGCTTTAAAAGTGAAAGTTTTGTTCAGCTGATAACAGCAGCTTGAATTCTGCACTTTCAGAAAAGCTATTTAAAAGAACCTAATAAAATAAAATATAAAAGTAATAAAACCTCTGGAGGACCAGAACATCTCAAATTAGGAAGGAGAGATGTGAAGTTGGTAGTTACTTTGTGAAAGCATTCATGTAATACAACAAGGCTTGGGAAAATGGATTAATGAGCTTGCAGACAGTTTCCTGTTTGTTGAGGTGGGTAATGGCAGGTGAGAGATCAGTGCACACAGCAGCAGCTTGTTCCCAGTCTGGTGGGCTGTGGGTACAGCTGGAATGATCTCTCAGGAATTCAGCAGGGATGGCCTCCATGTGCCCATCTAGCCCTTCTCTAGACTGCTCATTCCGTACCTTTGCCTTTGAGCTTTTGTCCCTAAATCCCCTGTAGGGCCCTGGCTGTGGGGCGTTGGTGTGAGCACTGTGCTGTGGTTCCTGCAGCTCATGGGAGGGCTGCCTTGGCTCAGGGTTTCAGCACCACCCTGACCCGAGCTGCCCAGCTCTGGGGTTTCCATGCTGGAGATCCTGGCCAGGAGCTCCACGTGACACCTGTTTCCCACACCATAGTGCATCAGGGAAGCCTTGCAGTTGGCTGCTGCTTTGTAAAAAGCAGTTAAACCACAGTTCTTGAGTGGCATATGCACCCATCTCTTATTATTTTAACACACTTTTCGCAGGCTTACATTCTGTTTTCTTCTTTTCGAACTGCTGCACTCCACCAAAAGCAGAAAAGCAAACCACATCCACTTGTTTTTCATATCATGCACAAAAGCACTTAAAGATGTGGCGTATCTTATATTTAGCCTGCTCTTTGTATTGTTCATCTTAAAACACTGAGCTGTCTTTTGCACAACTGTTCTTACATATCAACTGACAAAAACTGTCTTTCCATTATTTCTGTTGCCAGTTTATAATCGTCTGAATCTTGAAAAGCGGATTTCTTCGGGTGTTTTTTTAAACTGAATTCTTCCATTACAGACAAGAATCAAAGTGCTCTGTGAAACCTAGCGTGGATTAGGGAAGTGGCATTGTCAGTGCAAACAGTATCTCGTCAGTTCCATCCTGTTTGAGGGACTGATGGTGTTACAGTTTAAGGGCTTATTGTGTAAATGTTTGTAACTGGAGAAATCTACAGATTTGGACTATCGGTCGTTTTCCTTGTTAGGGACCCTTTTATTCTTGCTCATATCAATAGCTTGTATGTGGTGAAAGCAGCTTGTTGAAGTGCTGTGAAGTAAAAAAAGCAAATGTTCTATTTAAAGCTGCTTTCGTTACAAATTCTCTCTTTTATTTATTTTTTTTAACCTTGCAATGCTTCATCTTCTACTTCAGACTGACTTTTAACTGCACAGTTAAAACTCACTTGGGTCAGATTTGTAGATCTGACAGAAAGAAAGGGAGCCCTGTAGAGCAGAGAGGCTGCCAGTGATGCAATATCAGCTGCTTGTGTTGGCTTTTCCTGGGAATTGTGCCGAGTTAGCCAAAGAGAAATAGGCTGTTTGTGTTTGTTCTGGCACACTACTGATTTGTCTCAGATTGTGACAGAGCTACAGATTTTGTGGATTTAGACAGTTTAGAAGCATTTTCTCTCCACATGCTGTTTCTGTAGTTAACAGTGTTCAATGCAGGCCACTTGATCCATCAGTAAAGTTCAAAATATATGTATGTCTTTTAGTTTTTAATTAGTCCCTACTCACAAGGAAAGTCAAACTTCTTCTTTTCTTTTTGAATTTGATGTGCTGTTAATCTCTCATTCATTTATGAGAAATGAATCATGTGTGGAGTGGTCCATGGAGCCAAACCACAGCACTCAGTGATGTATAATCAACACTGTGGTAGCTTGGCAGGGTGAGTCCTGTGGGTGGATAACGACTGGTGTTGTACCAACCACAAACACTCACACAGATGACAGCTCCAGGTCTCCTTCACATGGTGTAGCTCACATCTGGAGAGCAGAGAGGCTCTGACCAGTTGCCACGTTGGGCCCTGGCTGACAGCCAGGCCACCGTGTGGTTCCTCCTCAGGCTCTGCCTCCTGCATGCTATCAGACATTTGGGGTGCCCATCTTCTCTGAAATGGCAGTTAATTATTATTAATTATCATTCCTATTATCACTGAGCTGTCACCAGCCTTCCCAGTCCTGTAACCCTGGGTCATCCACCTTATGACTCCCCCAATTTAATTTTAAATTGCTTAGTGTGGTCAGCCTGAGCCAGGAAATGCAGTCGTGTCTCACCTGCCTGCAGAGTGAGATAATTAATTTTTTTCAGGAAAATGTTAGAAATAAATCAACTTGATTTTGGGTCAAGGCTTTCAAGGCATTGAGGTCTAGGAATGAAAGTACAGATCTGATGCATCAGCACACCCCTAATCCCTGTCAGAGTTGGTAGGGAAGAGGAGTGGGGACCCTCCTTCACCTGTGTAACATTGAATGGGATGATTATTTTCTGAATTTCAGAACAATGGTTCTTGTGATGAGGGACTTTTCCCATACAGTTTTAAGGTGAAGAATGGTGCATGTTACAGGAATTTGGACTGAATGAGCCATGTCTTGGCTCAGGTACACATCATTAAATGTGATGTTCATGGTACAGCTGATTATAAAGAGCTCTGTTTCCAAAGGACAAGTCTGACAATTACACAGTGTGAAGCTCAGGTTAGTAGTACAGGCAGCCCAAATCAGTATATTTTATAAGGGATGCCTTGCAGCTTTTGCAAAGTCAAGGAATTAATTGTTTTCATTCTAGTACCTTAGCATTTAGGGAGAGAGTTCCCTGGCTATGGATGAGAGTCAGCTCTGGGTAGACAATTTCTGGTGACTTATTAGTTGAATTTGGCCTCTTTGATTTGTCCAAATATTGGGTGTTCTTTCTGTTATTTCTGTTTCTGATGCTACTATCTTACTATCTTTGGTGGAGATTCAGGTATTTTTTTTCTGTCACTGTTCTAAAATACAGGGAGTTTTTCTAGTTATCTTTGGTCCCTATTGTATTTTTTAATAGATATCATTTTTGGACACCCAGGGCTTTTTAATGCTGTTTCAGTGTAGTTCTTGACACCTAACAGATTACCAAGTGAAGATAACCTTCATATTGGCAGACAACTTGAGACTTCTATCACAGCTCCTAATCTCCAACCAGGAGAGGAAATTGTGACCAGATGGAGGAAAAGTTACAGGTAATTTTTCATGACATCCAAAATGTTGTAAAAGCAACAAAATGTTTATACTGTATCCAAACCAGACATACTTTTTAGTGAGATTGTAGAGTGGTAGGATGGGAAAGGAGTTCTGTGCCTGTCCCAGTGGAGCGCCCTGTTGTTGCAGTGAATGCTCCATGTGTGGAGACACGAGGCTTGATTCCATTTTCTCTGAAGGCTGATGTATTATCTTATATATTGTACTAAAATACTATATAAAAACTGTACTAAAAGAACAGAGAAAAAAGAAAGATCAGAAGGCTACAAAGAACAAGAATAGAATAGAATGCATAACAAAAATCCTGTGACTGCTCACAGCCTTGGCACAGGTGGCCGTGATTGGTCATCAATGGAAAACAATCCACATGGACCAATGGAAGATGCACCAGTTGCATTCCACAGCAGCACAGAGTTATTGTTTACATTTCTTTCCTGAGGCCTCAGCTCTCAGGAGGGAGAAATCCTAGGAAAGAATTTTTAATAAAATATCATAGCTATACCCTGTGCCACAATTCCTGTCTCCATCACTTTCTCCAGCCAGGAGGAGCCTGACCCCAGTGCTGGGGCTGTCCTGTGTCCAGCTGGCACAGCCTGGTCCCTGCTCTCTCCCAGCCTTCTTGGGGCTG